AAAGCAGTCAAGGACGGCCCAAAGCCTTGGGACCCTGCACCCACGTGGGAGACCTGGAGGAAGCTCCTGACTCCTGGCTTCGGATTGGCTCAGCTCTGGCTGCTGCAGCCACTTGGGGAGTGAACCAGCAGACACAAGCTCTTCTCTATCTTTCCTCCTCTCTGTATACCTGCTTTTCCAATAAAAAAAAAAAAATCTTAAAAAAACCCAAAAAACCAAAACCCTGTAATTACTGTTGTTCTCCCTGGGTTCGACTGGAGCACAAGCTGGCTGCCAAGCACCTCTCAGACCTTACCCACTGTCTCCTGACATACTTCTCATAGTCCAAGAAATGTTGCTGCTTTTACTTATTTATTTTTGAAAGATATATCCATCTTTATTGGGAAGGCAGATCTACAGAGAAAAAGGGGCTATAGAAAGAAAGATTTTCTGTCCACTGTTTCACTCCCCAAGTGGCTGCAACGGCCAGCACTGAGCCAACCCAAAGCCAGGAGCCAGCCAGGAGCCGCCTCCGGGTGCCACTTGCAGGTGCAGAGTTCCAAGGCTTTGGGTCATCCTCACTGCTTTCCCAGGCCGTAAGCAGGGAGCTGGATGGGGAGAGGAGCTGCCGGGACACCATGCAGCATCCATAGGGATACTGGCGCCACAGAACAGAGGATGAGCGTGCTGTGCCACCGTGCAGGCCCCTGGTCTTTCACTTCTAAAGCAGCTCCGTCCTTTCTCCTGCCACACACGGTCCAGGACTGCAGGCCCTCCCCCCCGGCTCCTGCTGTTCTTTCCAATCCCAGGGGACAAGGATCTTACCCCTCAGCCCTCCTGGAAGATGTGGCTAGTAGCAGTGCCCAAGGAACTTTCTAGTCTCTGGGACAACAGGCTCCTACCACAAAGGGAAGTGGGGGTCGTTATTCTATCACAAAAGATTGGGAGCCTGGGCAACAGACCATCCAGCAGCAGAACAAGAACCCTTTTTCTGCCCAGGGTCATTTGGAAACTTATAACATCATTAGCAGGTCACCTGGGATCATCAACATAAAAATTAGCCTGCCATAGATGGGCTGAATCTTTTGAGTTTTGTTCATGACTGCCTTGGCAGGACAAAACAAGTGACTGCATGGGCCTTCCATGGGTCCAAGGGCCACACATCCCCACCCCTCCCTGGGAGGTCCACACACATACTCTGAATTCCTACCTACATGCCTACAGAAAGAAGTCTGAATGGACAGGACCTGGCATAGCAGCAGCTAAGATGCCGCCTGGGGCACTCCATTCTACATCGAAGTTTCTGGGTTCCAGTCCCGGCTCTGCTTGGCATCGACAACAGCTCAAGAACTTGAATCCTTACCACTGGACTGCGTTTCTGGCTCCTGGCTCCAGCCTGGCCCAGCCAGCGCTGTCGTTGGACGCCTACCCTGTCCCTAGCCGGCCATTCCTGATCTAATCCCTCTGTAAAGATGGATCCAGTACCAAGTTCCTGTTCTGCCTGACCCCAGGTCCCTGGTTTTGAGTGGGCACTCTCCCCTGGCCCGAGATTATTGTAGGTGTAAAGCCAGCCCCCCAAGTCCTGGCCCCCTGGAGCTAGCAGAGGATAGTAAAGAGGAATAATGAGCAACAGACACTCGTATCTGCTGGCCACGGGCTTCCACCTGCCCAACGCTTCTCGTCTTCCAAGGCCCTGGTCACGGACTGCTTCTGTGCTGTGGTTTTCCTGGTGTGCCAGCCTTCGCCAGGCTCCCCAACCGTGGCCTTGCGCCACTGTAAGCTGCTCTGACCTCAGCACCACGGCCTTCTTACTCATCTCGAGCTCGGTGAGGCTGTAAAATTCCACCACTCCTGTCCTCCACGCTTCTTAGAGCCAGGAAACCACAGCCAGCACCTGAGGGCTCACTGTGCAGGGAAAGGTTCTTTCCCCAACCTGGCACGGGGACCTGCTGGGCCACCAAACCAGTGTGGTGGCTTCCAGAGGGTACATTGTATTCCGCAATCTACGAGGATGAAGTTAACATTAACCACTGGGACCACTTAGCATGTGACAAACCAAGACTGACAGGCCTGATGATGAAGCGGGAATGCAGAGCACACCTGTGTGTGTGCGTGTGTGTGTCTGCCGGCAGTGGCCAAGGACACACCTCTCTGTGGCCAGGAAAAGGAGCTCCAGGACCTGTGGCGTGGTGGGTGCCTGGACCTGGCAGGGCAGCTGTGTGGATGGAAGGAAGCAGTGGCGCACAGGTGCTGGCACATGCATGCCCACCCCACTCAGGAGCCTTCTCATGACCAAGGTGGGAAGCAAGAACCAGCCAAGGCGCTGTCGGTTACAAAAGTGGAATGGGAAAGTGGCAGAGAGACTCAGCACTCTGCTGCCTCTGCCTGTCTCCTGCACAGGGGGTGCAGCCCCCACCAGGCTGTGAGAGGGGCTGCCTGAGGCTGTGTGATTCTGGACCACTGGACATCTCCAGCGTTTATTCTCCTTTAAAATAAGAGGTGATAAAAACACCTTTCTCATAGGAGTGTCGTAAGGCACAAGTGTAATCATCATCAGTAACAGGAAAACTCCGACTCCCGGGAACTATCAGTAAGATCGCCAGGCCATTCGCGGGACTCCCAAGGGTGTGCCAGGAAGAGACGAGCACTGAGCCAGGCCGTGGGAGACCTCGGTTCTCAGACACCTCGCCGACTCCCCTCCAAACCCTCGGTTCCTATGATCCCCAAAAAGAAGGCATTCGGACATTGGACCGCTGCGCTCCCACCAGCTCTTGCATTGCACTGTGAGGACCTCCGGGGCAAAGGTCACTTGCTCCCAACCCATACCAGTAAGCCACAACTCCAAACTCTGCAGGCTTGCTCTGCAAGCCCGCCTCCGCCGCCACCGCTCGCTCGGCAGCGTGCTTCTGAGGCTGCTGCCCCAAGTTTCGCTGAGCGCCGCGCTGCAAGGCCAGGTCTGGCAGCGCGGTCCCAGGATATTTCCTAGAGCCGGACACATGGTCGGGCGGGGAGTGACAGGTGCGGCGCCAGCGCCAGCGAGAGGCAGAGCATGTGGGCGCACAATCGCGCGCTCTCGGGCAGTTCCCAGCGACGCCGCCCCAACCCCAACCCGCGTCCCCCAGGCCCGCGACTCCCGCAACCCCATGGGGCCACCCGAGGCTGGGCGGCCGGGATCTCGGGCTCACACACTCGCCATGGCCCCGAGAGTCAGGGATCGCCGGGGCGACCGCGCGCGCGTCTCGCGCTTACAGGGGCTGAGGGTGGTGGTGGTGGTGGGCGCGCGCCGCCGCGCACGCCGCCGTAACCCCTTCCTCCCCGCGCGCGCCCCCACCCCACCCTCCGCCAGACCTCCCGCCCAGCGAGCCCCTCACCGTCGATGTCCCCCAGGGTCAGCTCGTCGCCCAGCTCCGTGAGCGTCTCCATGGTCTCCAGACCGCCCAGATCGCCGCTCTCGTCCATCGCCCGGCTCGGCGCAGAGATACCCCTGCCCTCCCGTTCAGGGAGACGCGGGGGCGGTGCCGTCGCCACCGCCCATGACACCCGACAGCACCCGCCCGGGACCGCCTCACCGGCCAGTGCCAGCCGCCGCCATGTTTGCGCTGCGCCCCGGCGGCGCGCGGAAGGGGCGGGCCGGGATTCCCCGCGCGCCCCCTTGTTTGTTGTCAATGGGACCAGGCCCGACTCCGCCAATCGGCGGGCGCAGCGGCGCGTGGGGTGATGGCGCGTCAGCGATCAGCAGCTCGGATTTGCATGGCCGGGCCCGTCCCCTCTCGGCCTTGGAGCGAATGCGAGCTGCGGCGGCCCGGTCCTCAGCCCAGCCCTCTCCTCCTGGTTTAAAGGAGCCGATCCCTTTACCGCGGGATCTGCTTGGCCCGCGACGCCGCGCACACGCCTGGGAAGGCAGAGTTAACGACCCACCCTCCTACCGCCAGCCGCCCCCACCCACTCCCACCCGCACCCCCTACAGAGCGCATTATGTCATGCTCCCAGAGGCTCCGCCCGGGAGCTGGGAAAGGGCAGACCTGGCCCCCCAGCACGGCCGGATGCGGAGCGCCGCGCCGACCTTCTCCCCAAAGTGGAAGTCGCCGATGGCACCTGCGGCGAGCGCGCGCTGACGCCGAGGGTCCTTGCTCCCAGGCACCTCCAAAGCCCTGCAGCCCTTCAGCACCGAGCTCGGGCACCCCGGGGAAGGGTCTGGAGGGCTGACGTACAGCCCACCCGTCGGCTTCCCACGCCCACAAGCACCTCCTAAGCGTAAAAAGCACCAGTGCACCAAGAAGCACTAGTGTGTCCAGAGATGTCCACCGCAGGATCCTATCTAACGAAAAACAGAGAAGGGATGCCATGCCATGCCATGCCGTGTTGCAAGCGACGCCCAGGCCTGACTGGTGACGATGCCCAGTGGAGTGCCTGGGTACCAGTCCCGGGTTCCTGATCCACCTGAGCAGGCAGCGAGGCCTCAGCAGCTGGGTTCCTGCGCTCACGTGGGAGGCTCGGATTGAGTTCCTGAATCCCGCTTGAGCCCACACCCATGTGTGTGTGGGGGTGAACCAGGGGATGTAAAACCTCGCAAGTTAACAACAAAAACACCAACACGCATAAATGCATATTTATTGAAAAGGCTTTCACGGTTTACTGGTGAACAGGACAGGTGGGTTTCTGGCGAGCTGGTGACAACCAGTTGTTGTTTAGTGATCCAGATGACTGTACAGACTGGGTGGGAACCGAGACGAGGACCACCTGGTCAAGGAGTTATTCTAAAAGGGGGACAATGATGTCCTTCATAGCTACTAAATTTAAGTGAACTCATTCACATACTGACAATATTTACTGAACATCACCGTGCCAGGAAAATAAACTGTGGTCTCTGAGAGCGTCCAGTCCAGTGAGGGAGGAAATGTGACATTAGGGGCGGCACTGTGGCATACGCCATGGCCTGTTACAGCAGTATCCCACATGGGCACTGGTTCCAGTCCCACTGGCTCCATTTCTGGTGCAGCTCCCTGCTACCCACGTGGGAGACCTGGACGAAGCTCCCTGCTCCAGTCTGTTGTCATGACCATGTGGGGGAGGAACCAGCAGGTGCGTGACCTTTCTATAACTCTGCCTTTCAAACAAATGATCCTCCCGCTCTTTTTTTTTAAAGAGATGAAACACACACACACACACACACACACACACACACAACAAAACAAACAGACACTGGGCTGCAAGTGAGCAAGGAAAAGTAGTGGATGTGGTGTAACAAGGGACGCGTCGGACGAGAACGACCTCGGATGGCCCTGGGAACCCGGAGTCGGGAGAAGCTGGCGAGCCAGCACCTGGCACAACTGCTGGTACACACTGAATGTCCACACAAGGTGGTACTGACAGTGACAACAGGATGGCCCCACAACAGGCTGTGGGCGCGGTGGGATCTGGGGTGAATTTCCTTGCTTGTTGGCGTTTCCGTATTGTCTACATTAGAACTGAGTACAGAAATGGCACCCAGGAGGCTCTGGGGTCTGCTGGCCTGGCAGGCTGCAACAACCTCCATGCAATTCCCTAAGGTCCAGGGCCTCCACCCCCGGGCTTGAGGCATTCCCGTGGAGGGCTGTAGTGTGTAGTGGGCCGGGAGGCTGGGCTCCTCTTCCCACTCGGCAGCAGCTCCCGTGGCACCTGCTGGACCTGACCAGGGGCCATGCTACCTGAGCGGGTGGCCTTTGGTGGTACTGAAACCTCTGCAGGAACAGTGAGTGAAGTAGCTGCATGGGGTCCACACCTCACTCCTCTGGCCCTGGGTCCCACCTAACTGCACACCTCTTCGGGGTGGTCACTTGCTCTGGCTGGGCGCACAGAGGTGGGGAGGAGTGGCCCTGGATTAGTCACCCCTCAGGATCCGGTTCCTTATCCTGTGGATCCTGTAGGGAGACCCCTCCCCTCTGCTTGCAGGACCCATCCCCCTCTTTGGCTTCCCCTGTCCCCACACAACCCGTCAGCACTCAGCTCAGCCACCACTTCCTCCAGGAAGCTTTGCAGTTGGACACGGATGGTTAGTGAGATGAGAAGGCAGCCTGGCTTCGGAGAAACTGAAATGGACCCAACGAGGTGATCAGGCAGGGACAAGGCAGGAGCCAGGAGCTTGGGGTCGTCAGAGGCCACCCCGCCCAGGAAGAAAAGAACAGGGAGAAACCAGCCAACAGACCAACCAACCAACAATCTCACTGAAGGTGGTGGGAGAGGGAGGGAGAAGGGCTGTGGACCAGGGAGGATGTGGTCCTCAAGGGATGGGTGGCAATGTCTGGAAACACTTTTGGTGCTACTGGCATCCAGAGGGCAGAGGCCAGCATGCCGCTAAATATCCTACGAGACCCAGGACAGCTCACCTGACACACACAATAAAGAAGGATCTGGCCCACACTACCAGGGGTGGCCCCACTGGGGTTAGAAATCTCACCTTGAAGGATGCCAGGCCAGGGGCCCCGAAGCCCAGCAGACAAGCAACATCCAGACTACACTAACAACATCACTGCTGCTACAGCTGAACCCCCCTGCTCTGAAGGTGTCACTACGGAAGCCCTGCACCCTCCCCAGGATGAAGAGGCTGCAGGTGGCAGTGCGAGAGCTTGGAGCGGCCCCCTCCTGGGCTCTGCAGACAGCAGGTGCTGGGCACATCTACGGGATCGACAAAGCAGTACCACATGGGTACCTGTCACTGAGAAGTCACTTTAACCCTAGCTGTTGGCCTCCTGAATCCAAAGTCCTCTGACACAGGCTCTCACCCTTCCAACACTCCTCTCTCTCCACTGGGCATTCTGAGACAGGGTTCAGAGATCTAAGTGAGGGGGTTCTGGTTCTGATGGTGGCGGTGCCCCGAGAGTCCCAGGCTAGCTCAATGACCTCTATCCAGTCCTGGGACATCTTTTAACCCCCTTGTCTGCACTGAGTAGGCCTGGTTCTTGAAAAGCTCGTCCCCACAGTTCAGGGGGAAGCTACATACTCCTTGCTGAGCTGGCAGTTGAGCCACTTAACTACACAGAAGACAGGCAGGAAGGGCCTTGCGCCTGCCAGGCCCTCGACTCACTTGCTGGCACCAGGACAGGTTCGGCAGCCCACAGCGGATCTGATCCTGTCTCCTGGTCCCGCCCTCGAGTGCACACTCCCATGTCCACCCTCACAGGACTGGGACTGGGGTCACACTGCCCAGGACAGGGCTGGGATGGATCTCCTTGCTCTGCCCAGGGAGGGTGACCTGTTGGCTGATGGAGAAAGTTCTCCAGCTTTCCTCCAACCCGGTCCTCCTGTCCCCTTATCTTTCCCTGAGTGGTTGATAGGGGTACAGAATGTCCCAGGCCCTCCTAGGAGGCCTCCCCAAGGCTTCATTTCCCCCTGTGGCTCTGTCAGAGCAAGGCCAGCCTCAGAGCAGGTGAGCACTGGATCAGGGGTCCAGGAAGCAACAAACTCACATTACCAGTGAAACCACACACAGCGAAGGGCAGGGGCACACCTGGCTCAGCCAGCAGGTCTGCTGGGCGGAGACCCAAGTCTCTCCTAGGTCAGGGGTAGGAGCCCAGGACCAGTGCAGGGAGTCACGGGCTGTGTCCCTTTAAGAGGCAGCCCCTAACCTGGCAAGGTCAAAGAGACAGACCCAGAATTCCCAGGGAAGCCCCACCCCCTCCACTTGGAAGAGGCAGGTTGGAAGGTTTGCGGCCACCCAGCTCCAACTCAATCAGGCTATACACTCAGGTCCTAGCTCCTACAGCTTCCCAGGCCTTGGCCACAGGTCACGGCAGCCCTGCCCCCTATAGGTCATGGATCTCCCAGTGTGGTCAAAAAGGACACACTGACTCCTCCCTGCACCTGCTGCCAACGTGGCAGACACGCAGTGACCGTCCCCACAGCCAGAACACCTGCAGCCTGCTTCCCGACACTGACCCCGAGGCAGGAACAGCAGGCTTGGCCCAAGCCCACCGTGCTAGGGCACGTGGCTTCTGGTTAGCCAGGACCATCCTCCAAGAAGCCTCAACATCTCTGAAGGACGCTGGTCCCCTCACGGTCCCCTTATGAACCTCCACTGGTTCAATCTGTTGGCTTTAATTGGGTCTGTGGAGGCACAGGGACCCATGTTGTGGCCCAGGGATGGGGACTGGTGGCAGGCGTGGCAGCTCCACTTGTGGCTGGGAGGCATGGCTCTACTGCTTCCCCACAACAGGGGGCAGCCAGGACTCTCCATAGGGTTCTGCCCACTGCAGTGTCCTCTGAAGGCCTTAGGACTTCCCCCCAGGGAGGCCTCAAGGAGGAAACGCAGTCCCATGAGGCCCAGTCAATCTCCAGCCAAGGCTCAAACTGGGGCGCTGAGTGAAAGTGGCCTCCCCATCTGGAAGGGGCCAGGGCTCAGCCCCAGGGTCGGTGCAGCTACATGGCCGCGACCACACAGCTGCCTCCCACCTCGTCTCCTCAAGCCCTGAGCTGCTGTGCAGCTATAACTCAGACTGGGACCGCGAGATCCTCGGGCCTTTTCGAATTTCTTTCCGCTTCTCCTCCTTTTTCCGGCGTTTCTCTTCTTCTCGCAGGGCCTTCTGGAAGGGGTCGGTGCTGGAGATGAACTGTACGGAAAAGTAAGAGTGTCTGATTCCGTCAGTCAGCCCAAAGACTCAATGCTGGGCTAGGCCGCCGCTGGCCAGGCATGGGGTAGGAAGGTGGACAGGACCCAGGCCCCGTCCTTAGAAGCCCAGGCATGAGACAGGTAAACGTGCTTGGAAAGAACAACTGCACAGGGCTTGAGACCTAGGCAGGAGTTTATAGGGGAAACGAGTGAGGGGACAGCCAGCTGCAGTGTGAACCTGCCCATACGGGGCAGCTGAGAAACAGACTCCTGGGGGCAGCAGGGGAGAGAGGGGCAGAGTGGCACAGACTGCACAGGACGGCTGCTACAATCAGCTGCGGCGTCTGGGTGCAGGAGAGGGCCCAGCTGTCCAACTGTGGACCCTGAGCAGGTGGTGCAGCAAGAAGGGACGGGCACATGGGTGAGGATGCCCTGGCACCCCAGCCACCAGCTCGTCTCCTTCCGTGGTCTCCAGGGTGGCTCTCCTAACATCTAAGCACCTGCTCGCCTGTCTGGTGTGCCTCACACTCCCTGCCTCCCGAGGGGACTCCTGGATTCCCTGTGGCCAAGATCCAACATGCTCTCTGCAGCCCTGCCCCCCACTCCCCGGCCTGCCTCCAGGCCTCATGCCGAGTCAAACTGCATCTCAGACACCTCCACTGAGCCGTCACACTCGGTGTCGCCCCAGCTCCCCAAAGTCAGGATGATCAGTGTGCTTCATACTCCAATCCAGGCAAACTGGGCTAAAGCATCCCGCCACCTCTTCTGTGCCGAGGCCCTCTGCAAGGCCTGTTTTTAATTTTTTAAAAAGTCATTTATCTGAGAGGCAGAGAGACAAAGAGAAATAGGCACAAAGAGATAGCTCCTATCTAATTCATTCCCCAAATGCTTGTACCTGCTGGAGCTGAAGCCAGGCCTTCCACGTGGGTGGCAGAGACCCAGTCGCTCCAGCCATCACTGCTGCTTTTCAGGTCTGTACTGGCAGGAAGCCTGTGCCAGGAGCTACAGCCAGGACTCGGACTCAGTGGGGCAGAGGTGTGTGACCACTAGGTTAAAAGCCTATCCCTGCCTATCTCCCTTCAAATCCTAAGGGTCTCTCTCCATTTCTACCACCTCTACTTCGGGATGACTCCAGGAACCTCCTCACCTCTCCTGGCCTTCCCAACCCCCAGCTATGCTCCTTGCCGCAGCTGGACCTTTGCAAAGGCAGAACTGGCCACAACACACTGGCCACGGCACACTCCAGCCACGGCATACTCCGGCCACCACACTGCCAAGCAGTGCACCCGCAGGCCCAACCTGCCAACCTTGCATTCCTGCCTTCCAGAGCCACTCCTGGTCCCCTGGCCTTCCCCGTGGACGGGCTGGGGCCTAGAGTGCTCTTCCCAGGCCTGCCCCCTTTGCCACGTTAGTTTCGGCTTGGTTGTTCAGGCCCTTGGTACCTGCCCTGATGCCACGTCACAGCGCTTCCTCCCGCCTCCTCTGTGGCAGGCTCCCTTTTGACTCTAAGCAGATTCCTTCTGGGCACATCTTCCTTGGGCTGGCCCCCTCCTCGTGCCTGCTGCCCCCTGCACACTGCATTACAGAAAAGGAGGGGAGTGCTGGAGGCGGCTCACCACTGGGGGGCTCAGCCATGCCCAGTGCATGTTTTCTAAACCAACGAATGAGCATGCCAGAATAGGAAACACAGCAGCACCCACAACTCAGGCAGCTATGTTACGAAATACACCCCTTTTGTTTTTAGGACAAATCTGACAAACGTGTGATCAAGGAGGATATCAAAATCAGAGTAAGAGCTCCACCTTGTGGTGTGAGACGCCCACCAGGTCAGCTGGAGCCGGTCACTGCCCAGGCCGCTGGGAAATCACTGCCCGAAGCACATGGAGGGCAACCGGGGGACTCAAGTATCCACAGCAAGTAGAGGGCCCAGCTGGCACAAATCCTCCGGAGATTCCTCCGCGGGGCTCACCTCTCAGAGCATCCCCCATAACACTCTGCTCCTGTCCCAGTTTATCCTCATCTTCATCAGGGAAGTTGGGAGACCCGCTCAGGCCACAGGGGACCCATGGGTCCAGAGATCCCAGCCTCTCCAGCCCCAACCTAGCTGGCTCAGGACAGAAGCAGTCTGCCCCCCTGCCCACTGACTCCCTTCTCTGCTCAGGCTGAGCCACACCTGTGCAGCCTTCACACCCAGCTGAGCTGCCTGCTGCAGGGGCCCGACCGCCTGTAGGGCACTCCTGGTCAGCACCTGCTGGCTGCAGTCTCAAGCACTTGGCCTTGTAACCGGTGTGTCGCCCCTCTGCGCCAAGCTCACCCCTCCTGCCTGGAAACACACCTGGTTCTGGGACACAGCCCGGTCTCCATCCTCCACATTCCTCAGCTGGTTCTCCCAACTGGCAACTGAGGCCCTCTCTGCTGCTGCTAACTGCGTGATGGCCTCAAGAGCTCCACTCTGGTCACTGCCTCCTATCTTCCCTGACGCCTTAACCCTCCATTTCTCTGATTCCACCAGAACCCACTGCCCTGTTTCTACCACGTCACTGCCCTTGGCCCATTCCCAGGCTCACTTCCCTGTCACAAATTGCGAAGCTGGGCTCCACTGTGGTGAAGACCAATGCTCTATCCAACCTCAGTGCCCGTCTTGCCCTGCCGCACCCATCACCGGGCCGCAGTCAGCACACACCCAGCCTCCTGCTCACTCCAGCAGTCCTTCAGCGGGTGGCCAGACAGGTCCCGTCTCAACTTCCCGGTGTGAACCCCAGCGGGAGGGCAGTGATCCAGGGCTCCTGCTCTCCTACACCCACTTTTGCCCCAAGCCTCCCGCACGCCCCCTCACTCTGATGCTACACCCTCTGTCCTGTCCTGCAGGCAGACTGGAAGCAGCCGGGAGGGATTCCCCCACAAACTCCCCCCACCACTACTTCTATGCCTTCACTGTGCCTGGGCTAAGGGTCTGACCTTCCCCCAGCGCCCTATTCCAGCCCTCCTCACCTCCAGCCAAGGCTGCACTCTCCTAAGGGTTGGTCCCATCGGCACATAAACCCAAGCTTTCCCACTAACTGCTCCCGCCTGCTCCTGTACCATTGCTCTATGCTCCCTGAGAGCAGAACCTGTACTCATTCTCTGAATCTAACTGGTTCTTTCAAGACCTCCTCCCCCGGGGCTACCTTCAGCAGTCATTGCTCAGTCCTGGTGGTGCTGGTAAGCCATCTGTGCATCTGTGTCTCTCTCACACACAGGCCCTCCAGGAAGCACTGTCACATCTGCCCCCATCAAGCCGACTGCTCCTTCTGGGGTCTGCTGGTTCCTCCTCATTCTCCAGCCTCTAACGGCAGCACAGTCCCAGTCCCCTGTCCCCGACTACCGCCTAGGCTGGTACCTCCTGGGCCTGCAGGACGCTCCACTGCACCTGGCATACCCAATGGCCTCCTTGAAACGTGCTGCCCAGCAGGCACTCTCCTCTCTGCAGGCTTCCTGACCCCAGGCCAGCAGCACGTTCAACCGCCCTCCTCCCACACACCTGCTTCCTCAGCACGTCCTATTGGCTTTGCTTCCCAAGAGATGTGGAACCTGGCCTTCCTCACCAGCTCCACTGTCCCAACCCTGGCTCACCTTCTAAATGGCTAAGTGCAGCAGCCACACCTGTATGTGCTTCCGTCCCAGGCTGTACACAGAGCAGTTGGGGTGACTTCTAGAACAGCATATCAATACTCTGGCCCTCGGCGCAAATGTCAGAGCCCCCAGTGAAGAACCTGGTCCAGGGCTCTCGCTACAACCTCAACTCCTCACACACACCCCTCTGCCCCAATTCCTTGTGACTCCCCACTCTCGCACCTAGTCCCTTTCAGCCTGGAATGTTCTTCCAGATCCTGCCAGTAAGACTGCACCCCCACATTACGCCCAGCTCTCCTTCGCCTCTCCTGCTTTTTCTCCATAGTTCCTGTCACCACCTACAATGCTACGTATTTTTTACTAAACACCCACTTCCCTGAGAGGTTACTCCCTGGAAAGAAAGGCCGTTCTGCCTCGCCAGCAGACGGATGCAATGCTCACTCACATGGAACACATGAGCAAGCATGCTGTGCCTCTGAGCTTCCACACACGCTGTGGTTGCAAGGCCCTCCCACCACTGGTCCACTCAGCAACTCCTGGTCGTCCGAGGCTGTGTCTGGCCCATCTGAGGTCCCACGCTCACCAGGCTTCTCTCCCCACACTGGGCTACGCCTGTGAGTATCTGGGAGGAGAACCAAGGCCAGCCTGAGACAAGTGGGCTCCTGTGAATGCACGAGATGAGGGACAGGACTCGTGGGACACTCACTGACCAGCCCGAGGGGCAGGGATGAAGGGGCTGAGCAAAGCTGGGCTGCTGCTCGAAGCAGGTCCACACTGTACACTGAACAGTGTCGAGGGACTATGGTACAGCACTTTAAGCTGTTAGCATCCCAAATGGGCGCTAGTTGGAGTTCTAGATGCTTCTCGGCCCCCTGAGAATGTGTACAGGAAAATAGTGAAAATCATCCAAGTGCTTGGGCCCCCGCCCCCTTGGGAAGGCCTGGATGAAGCTGCCGGCTCCTGGCTTCAGCCTGGCCCAGCGCTGTCTCTTGAGGCCATTTGGGAGTAAACCAATAAATGTAACTTTGCCTTTCAAATAAGTCCTTTTTTTTTTTTTTTAAATTTACTTCTATTTGGAAGATAACGTTAGAGAAAGAGAGATCTTCCATGTGCTGGTTCACTCCCCAGATAGCCACAAAGGCTGGACACTTGGCCCTGGCGCTGCAACACCAATTGCACAATGACTGGTGGACACGCCCAACAAGCATGTACGCTATCCAAGTATTGCCACTGACCAATGCTGTTCCCTGGTCTGCCACCGCGAAGATGACAGACGCAAGGTCGAAGGCGCCCACTCTGCTCTGAACCTGACTGTGGAAACAGACGGTGGCCACATACTAGACAGTACAAGACTTTCATCTAGATGCCCACAGCAGGCCTACGCTCTGACAGAACAGACAGCTCTGACTGTGGAAACAGACGGTGGCCACATACTAGACAGTTGTTCTGACAGAACAGACAGCACACTGCTGGCCAAACCACAGCGTGCACATCTCCTCCTTCGCCACCACATGCACCGCTACGCTGGAACGCAGCAACACCACCACAGGTCAGCAAGGGGAGGACTCCACTCCTAGTTGGTCTGCCTCCGTCTCTGGGGGGATCGGTATGGCCTGAGAGCACCAGGGTTATGGTCCCTTAGCTAAGTGGACCGCTGGCTGAGTCCCCTGCAGTAGCCCGTGTGGGCAAAGATCCGAAATCTAATGCGTCTCTCTAAGTGCTCATGTCCCACCCACACCAGACCCTTCCCAACAGAAAGGTCTAGGTGAGGGGGACATGACTGAAGGAACAATAAGATCACAGGAACCAGGACGGGGTGCACAGCTTCTGTAGCAACGATCCTGACACGTGCGTAGGAAAGGCCTCAATCTTGGAGAGTACAGGGAACATTAAATGCTCTTTGTGGCCTCAGTCCAGCACTATCACATGCAAATAAACCCTGGGGACTGACCGTGTGGCCAGCTGTCACTCCTGTTCCCGAGAAGGGAAAATTCACGCAGACACAGTGCCGAACTGCCCTGCTGTGCCTGATATCCTCAAAGGGGACACAGATCCTACGCAGTCACACAAGCCAGCACCCTCACTTGCCATCCGATGTGACAAACTCATCTGCTTGCAATGCCTCCGCAGTGCTGGGTTACACCTCATGGGGCAATGAAGGCTGGAGCTCGAAGGACAAACAACATACAGGTGACCAAAGTGTCACACGTGGGACAGACTGGGCCCACAATACAATACTGGGGTAGGGCAGAGGGGAGACTGCTTTGGGGTCCATCTATTGCCCCATGCAATAAATGGCAATGACATCAAAGATGAGCAGGTCGATCTCAACTTGGGTGAACAGTGACGAACAAGAGATGGGTCTACGCCCTGGTTGTTCAGTGACGCCCCTGGGGACTTTCGCACGACACCTGGAGCTCTGGAGGACAGTTGAGGCTAATTCTGCAGGTTGACCCCGCCCTGCTATTTCCAGTAAGGTTAGAGCAGCCTTCCCTGGATGAGACAGGCTGAATGGATCTGGTCCCACCCCACAGAGTGCTGGGTGTGGGGCCCCAGCATCCCTGCATTTTTTTGCTGCAAACACCAAGAATATCCAGTCCTGCCCACTCTACCTGGACCACTTCTCAGGATTGCATCTGAGGAGAGCAATCTTAAAGGATGAAGTAATGTGTCCCTACAAAGAGTAGTTCTGCTTCCACTCTGCACATAAATGGCAAATTTCCCAAGCTCAGTGGTCCTCGTCTAACCAACCTCACGCCCAGCACCCACCTGGGCTCCTCTGCCTCACTTCCATGGAATCTGGGCAACAAGGGGAACTGACATGACCAGGCCAAGTCTGGCTACTACGTTTGTAAGTCACTCTGGCAGCAGTGACTTGTCCAAAGGCTTCAACAGTGAGGGACAGTGAGCGATGGCAAGGGATGGTGAGGGACAGTAAGGGACAGTTTCTGGACCCAGAGCCACAGGTCTGGCTCCAAAGTCAGAGTCCTCACTCCATAATCCCCGCCTGGACACCCAGCCCGAGCCACAGCCTGCAGCTCACCTCTGAGCGGTCAACTTTAAACGGGTTCTGGAAGTCGGAGTCTTTCTCACTGATCCCCAGCTCCTGGGCCATCTGCAGGTAAAGGACCGTCGGTTAGCCTCTGCCTCTGGCCTGACACATACGGACGGTCAGTCCCTCCAGCCTGGGACCCGGTGCTGCCTGCTTGGACAGATGTGGGCTGGTAGCTGGGCGAACCACCAGCCAGTGGGCTCCTTACCAGCCTCAGGATGGGCGAGTGAGGCCCCTGGTCGAAGACGCCCGTCTGGTTGCAGAAGCTGATGCCCCAGCGGATGAGCAGGTTCCAGTTGGAGTTGGGGTCGAAGTAGTGGTGCACAATCTTCGGGAAGCGCAGCACCACATCCCCGAAGAAAGCCGTGTTCTCCACCACGTGGGAGAAAGCTGGGGGAGGACTCGGTGAGGAGCAGGGCCACACACCTGCCAACCGCCCACCGGGCTGGCCCCAGGCATCCTCCAGAGAACAGGGGCGGGGAGGGACGGGAAGCGTGGCCTCAGACCACAGGCTGCTGACTGCATGACTGTTGAGGGCCGTATGTCCACCCGCTCACCAGCCCCTCAGCGACAGCTTTGGAAAGTGCCATCCCCATGGTGCAGCCTGGAAACAGGCTCCGCAGCTGGTGAGTGGCAAACTGACCTGCAAACCCAGACTGCTCCTGGCTCCTTTGCTTCTGGAGACCCGAGAGGTGGGTGTGACATTGCACCCGAGGCTGACACAGCTCATTAAATGTATCCCCATGTCGAGTCAGTCCTGGTGTTAACATAACTACAGTATCTGAGAAGGACCGGTCTGCCGGCATGGCCAGGAACCGCGCAGGGCTCTCTGACTTTATTCAATATTCTCTACATCTTATCTTAGCTTGAAGTGTTTTAAAAGGCAGAATGACAGAGGGAAAGGCAGGAAAGAGCAATAGATATCCACCTCCTATTTCATTCCCCAAATGGCCACAACATTTGGGGCTGGACTAGACCAAAGCCTAGAACTCCATCCGAATCTCCCACATGAGCGGCAGAGGTTCAAGCACTCGGTCCTTCCTCTGCTGCCTTCCCAGGCACATTAGCAGGGAGCAAGACTGGAAGTGGAACAGCTGGAACCCACACTGGTGCCTAAGGGTTGCTGACCTCCCAGGCAGGGGCTTAACCCACAGTGCTACAACATCAGCTCAATTTTATCTTATTTTACATGCTTTTTCTTTTTCCCCAAATAAGTTCAGGGTTACATGAAATAAAACTCCTTTACTCAACCTTCTCTAATATCCTATGTAACCACTGTACGATCTAAACCAGGAAACAGCAGTACAGTATTATCAAGCATGAACATCTTATTTGAATTTCATCAACTTTCTAATGTCCTTCCTCTCGTGCTCAACAGGTCGGGGTCAAATGAGTTGAGTTAGTGTGTCAACACGGGGGCAACCTCACAGAGCCAACCCACACCAATGTCTGGAGCCAGTCCTGTAGTCAGGGCCTTGCAGCCCACTGCAGCACTGGCCAGGTTCCCCATGGAGACAAGCAAGCCACCAAGGGGCTAAGGCCTGAGGGACGGGGATACCCCAGGCTTCAGAATGACCCTGAACCCCAGAGAACTCCGGATCAACTCAGTTCAGAGGGAGGAGCTGGGGAAAATGACTCGTCCCTTCACCTGGCAAACAGGAGCGGCAGCTTCCCCGCAGCTACAGGGCAGCCTAGAGGTTTCCTGAGGTGCCACAGGCAGGGGCTGGTGCTGTGGGCTGTAGCTGTTGGAACCACTTGGGGAGCGAACCAGGAAGTAAAAGATCTCTTTCTCTCTCTCTTTCCTTATCACTCTGCCTTTCCAATCAAATAAAGCAATCTTCTAAAAGTTAATAAAAAGTAAGACAAATAAACAAGAATAACTCCTGCCTCTCCTACCAGAAAGTGCTAACCCACTGGCCCCGGCCCAGGTCCTGGAGAAACTGTGGGCAGGGCAGGGGCATCACAATCAGCTTTGAAACTGGAGAAATGCCTGGAGAATCACAGAGAACACAGCTGCCTGGGGGGCCTCTTGGGAAGACAACTCAGTGGCAAGAAGAGAAGGGAGGGAGAAGCCAGGGTGGTCCAGAGGGGAGAGCTTACCGTCCTTCAGCTTCTCGTCCTGGGGAAAGGGCCCTTCGGGAAGCACCCCGGCAGCAATGAGCAGGGCCCGCGAGTCCTCCAGCACCTGCAGGTACGCCACCTGGGCTGAGCGACCTGGCCCTTCACAGACCACCCCGGGAGCTGCCCCCCACCCCACCACACACCTTAAAGAGCCCCTTGAGCATGACGTCCAGGATCTTGTACTGCTGGTGGACATCATCCAGCTGTGCCAGGTTCTTCAGGGCCGACAGCTGCTCCCGCCGCTTCACCTCAAACATCTTCTTGTCTGGGCAGCATTAGGTTAAGGGGCTGATGGCCCTGCCTGGACCAGGGCTCCTGACCAGCAGGCAAGGGCCATGGAAATCCAGGGATAAAACAACCAAGTGTGTAAGTGCTACAACACATCACTTACCCAGTTCACACAAGACTGCATCCCAGAAACCCAACCCCATCCGCTCCTGCCTTCCCCTCCCTCTGCCCGGCCCCCCATCTCTCACCACCACAACGGGTCCAGAACCCCTACCTCCAACTCTCACGGACTCTGTGTGGGGTGCCCCATCCTCTCCAGGGGTCTCCCCTCTCTCAGGACCTATATTTCTCCATGACCTGTCCTATGCCCCTGATCACAGGGTACTATGATTGTGTATTTTAATACTTCTCCCCCCGCCCCAGGCCCGGGGATGCCTCAAAGCAAGGGACCAACCTGATGCTTCTTTGTATCCCCAAGCACAGCCAGGTCCCTGAGGCTCAAGATGGGTCAGAATTCCTGAATTTGTGCCCAAGGCCTCACCTACAAGGTACCATGCACATTCGTCACTCCTGCTGAGGCTCTCAGCAGTGTCCCTTGCCTTCTCTCTTTACCAAGTGTGGAAACTGGGGGCTGAGAAGAGAACCGGCTTGCTCAAGAGCTCGCCAGACTCCTTGTTCATCTCTGGAGTCCTCCAAGGCAACGTGGGGGTAGTGAAATCCTACGTTGCAGACCCCCTCAGACACAGCTCAGTAAGCAGGTTTTCCAGCCCCAAAGGATACAGATCTCCAGGCCTGGGTCCCGGGAGGTCCCCCCAGGGCCTGTGGCTCTCACCACAGACAGCAGCAGAACAAGGCAGGCGAGGGAGCGAGGAGGGTCCATAGCCAAGGTCCTGGAGCTAGAAGGGAATGCCAGGAAGAAGCAGAGGTCAGTCCTGACAGGGCACAGCCTCAGATGGGAGAAGCCAGTGACAGGAAGCCCTGAACTCCAGCCTCTGGCCAGGGCCTGTGACCAGCAGGAGCACCATACAGGCCCAAGCGATGGCAGGAGGCAGGAAGGCGGGGCAGTAAATGTGCTCAGCACAGGTGAGCATCTGGAGCCCTGAGTGAGAGTCCTGCCCTGCCTGAGCCGGGGGCTCTGGGCAAATGGCTTGACCTCTCTAGTCCTTGTCTGTGAAATGGGCCTGTAGGGGGCCAAGGTGAAGCATTGTTCCCTGGGGAAGGTGGGACCCATCAAGGGCATTACCGTTCAATTCCTCCTCCCAGGAAACAGCCAGCTGAGGACCAGGCAGCCAGAGAGGCAAGTGGAACTTCTGGGGCCTGAGTTTCGTTGTTGTTGTGAGGGCGAGAACGGAGGCAGGGCGGCCCCAGGGAGAGAGGGCTGGCTGTTGGGAGGGGGAGAACAGGTCGCTATATGCAGCAGACAGTAATCTCTGCTTCCTGGAACACACAGTGATGGAAGGGAGACGGTCAGGTGCAGTCTCACCCTCGGCCTCAGCTGCCCTGTTTCACTCCTGCGGAAGCCAACAGTGGCGGGGGCTCGGCCGGCAACTCACAGGAGTCTGTTCTACCCTAACTCCGGTGCCCCGGCTGCCTCCCCTAACTTTCTCAAACAACAGGGGCTACCCTCAGGCGACAGCTGTCCCAGGGCGATACCGGGGTGCAGTGAGCAAGAGGTCGCAGGGGTCACACAAGGAACTACCCGCCCGCAGATGCGGGACTCGGGTCCGCGGAGACCTCCTTCCCGCACACTGCTGCCAGCTCCGGGGCCCTCGGTTCCCGCACTCCCCTCCGCCAGCACCTACCAGATCCGGCGGGCAGGGACGGGATGGGCAGGCGGGCGGGCACTCAGCTCCAGGGTCCCCCCAGCCAACAGCACAGACGCCCGACTCGGTGCAGCCGCGAGCCGCACTTCGGGGACCGCCTCCGCGCCCGCCCGGGCCAACGAGCGCGGGCCGCGACCGCCGCGCTCTGCGGACCTCACTTCCGGCTCCTCCCCGCGCTGCCAGCCGGTGCGGTCCCCGGTCCTCCGTCCCGCGGATGGCCCGGGGGCGCGGCCTCGGGCGAGGGGTGCAGCCGGCAGGTGGAGCCTGGGGCGCTGAGCTTCCACGTGCTCGCGCCAAACTCTTTTTTGGGGGATCGTGTGTGCAGCGAGATTTCAGCTCTCAGGATCAACGGAGCAGGTGGTGACATACACTTTTTCAGATTTTCTTTATAAAAGAAACTAGTGGCGCCTGCAGTGCAGAGTTGGGCCGCCCCACCCCAAGTTCGTAGGAAGAGGGTGCCAGGTTGGTTGCTGGTACCAGTTCCGGGTGGGGTCCCCATATGCAGAGCTCAGCTGCTCAGCCAAGCTGTGAGGGACCTGGGGTCTGGGAACAGGGACCCCAGGAGAGCTGAGGCCCAAGGCGAGGGGCATTTCCCTCCACCTCATGGGTGTGGCCTGACCCGTGTCCTCTGAGGACCCTGCCACATGCTGCTCGCAGGACACAGCCGCCCCCTCTCCCCTCCAGCTGGCTGAGGCCTACCGCAGGAGGCAGGATGGGCCTCAAGTCCAGCGTGCCCCTGAGGCCACGTGTGGGTCTATAATTTTATTGCGATTCCATGTCAGAGGTGCAACAAATGGGTCCAGTGCTGCTCAAGTTTGTTTGTTTGCCTTTACTCTTACTTTCAGGTCTGAGTTCTCTCAGTGTCCGCTCCACCCCACCTCCCCGGCTCGGTCTCTGATGTGGGGCAGCGATTTGGCCACCCCTCCCTGGCAGCTGGCAGCGGCAGATGAGAGGAAATGGCAGAGAGTGGAGGACCCACAGGGATCACACGGGCAGGGACGGCCATTCGAGAACAGGGGTGCTCTGGGGGACGCTGGGATGGATTCTGAGATGTGAGACAAACAGGGACCTATCACACGGCACAGAGAAGGACGAGGGCTGGGGAGGCAGCTGGCAGAGGTGGGGAGAAAACACCCTCCTCCCCAAGTCCCCCTCCAAGCAGGAGCACCACCACACCGCTCAGACAACCCTGGACGCAGCCTGACCCTGCCAGAGCCCCCCAGGCTTTCTCTGGGGTCTGTGACCACCCAGCACCGGCAGGCCCGGGCTGAGGAGGATCCTCATTTGGACCAGGACAGTCTGTCCTGACTTTGGAGATGGGCAAATGTGAGGTCCAGTCTGATGGTCTCACTGGCTGCAGGATCGTCTGTGGCCTTTCCTGGAAGGGCAGCAGGAGTCCTCCCAGCAGACGCTGACATGGCTGTCCCCTAAGCCAGGTGCTGTCCTCAGCTTTACACCCTGTAACTGCCCAAAGCCTCGTGCCAACCACAGGAAGCAGGTGCAGCAGCTACCTTCACATGCCTCGCTGCTGGGAGGATTAAATACCCAGCAAGTGATGTGCCTGGCCTGCTGTCCCTGTCGATTATGAATTATCCTTGCAGACCCTACTTGCTTTAGGGGACGGGGCTAAGGAAAGACAGCCTCCCATGGCCTGGGGACCCTGCCCAATGTAAGAAAGGATACAGCATGTCCGGCGGGGGTGGCTGGGCAGAGGAGGCAGCAGGAGAAAGGCCCTCCAGAAGGGCCTGCAGTGTCTTGGCTGTGCTGTGGTCAGTCAGGAGGCCCGTATTCTGGACCTGGAGGCAGAAGAGGGGCAGGGGAGGCAGGCCTCTCAGTGCCCACTCCATACAGACCCTGCTAAGCTCCCCCACCCTCGCACTCCTGGCCTCCCGCCACTCAGAACACCCACCCTCCACAAGTAAGATGGCCCTGAGGGTCTAGCCTCGTGGTGGACACCTGCTGCTGTCTTCCCACCCACCTGCAGGAAGAAGACACGCAGGGCCTGGAGCGTGCTGCTGGACAGGGTGGACGGGTCAGCCACAGCCGCGCCTTGCAGAATGAGACCCACCTCCTCGCAAGACAGGACACTGCTGCTCCGGTATCGCACAAACTGGCCCCGAGAGAGAAGCCCCAGACCACTTCATTCACAGACACGCCCTGCGTGGCCATTCTGAAGCCCTCGGCACCTGCCTCAGAGCCGGGGCAGGGTGTGGCTGTGACACGGGAGTGGCTGACTGGGCACAGCTGGTGCTACTCAGGCCCTGGGTCCGGGCTTCCTTCCCTCTAGGCTCATGTGGCACTCTCAGGGTCAAGCCAGAACGAGCCGTCTGCAGCTACCCTGGCACAGTGGTGAGGCATCTTCTCTCCGCCTGCGACATCCTTCAAACCTCGGCTAAGATGCACACTCACTGCTGAGCAGCGATTCGTCTTGTCTGCTCCCACGCCAACCACCGATGCTGATCCACGTTGTGCGCAGGCTCGCAGCTATGTTGTTCAGTCAACGGGCACTTGGTGGCATCTCCCCTGCTGGGCCCCTCCTCAGCCAGTCAGTCCTTGGCTTACTCATCTAATTCCTTCTCTAGACCGAGAGGTCCCCCGAGGCAGAAGATCTACACCCCGTGCCTAGCAGGCCTGGCATGTGCATGAGATATGCAATAGAAAGGCTGCCAGGGGACCCACGGCTGTAGACATCTCGGACCAAGCCTCCTGCAGGGGAACGGCGCACCTAGCCTCCTGCCTCCCCTGAGAGTCCCCGGCCCCTCCTGCGCCACCCGGCTCGTGACGCTCCTCAGGGCAGTAGACCCTCCCCTCTGCTCTTACCAGGGTCATGAGTCTCAAGACCTCAGGCTGCAGGAAGGCATTCTCTCCAGAATCCAGGAGGGTAACCAGCAGAAATCGGTGCCAGGGCTGGGAGGCCACGTGCAGGGCTGCAGGAGACACGTCACCCCAGGGGCGTTAGTGCTGCTTTTCCAAAGACCCTGGGACACTGCCAAGGAGGGCCTTCCCTGTGACCCTCAGAAGGGGCTGCTCAGCTGCAGGCCGAGCGCAGTGGGGCAGGCTGACCTCAGGAAGTCTCCCTCTCCCAGGGCTCCTGCCCAATCTGTTGCCTGGTGTGGTGAGACTGTACACCCTGGGGTTGTAGCAGACAGACATGCAGAGGCTTGTGCCGTGTGAGGGCATCACAACCTCAACTGGGCACAGCCTATGACCTCTCTGGACCTCAGTGTCCTTGCGGTATTATTCAGAGAATTAAACAATGTGAGTATGAATCACACAACGGCGAGTGGCAGCCTGGGGCGGGAGGGTGGCAGGGCTGGCTCCCTCCACTCTCCCATGAAAACATGGAAGAAAGGGGTACAGGGGGTTTCCTACCCATGTCTGGGCTCCGGGCGTGTAGGTAGTCAAGCAAGGACTCCAGACAGCCAACACAGGCCTGGGACAATACAGGGTCCTTCTGCAAGACAGACACAAACATGCCCACAGCGTTTCCGTCGACCCATGCATGCTTCTCGGTGTTGCTGCCAGTAGGATGCCGACCCCCATTCTACCCCCAGGGCTGCCCCCCACCCAAAGGAACCAGCCCCCGGGTTGCCCCAGAGAGGAACTTTCTTGTTCTGCTCTTCCTAGCCACTCCCCATTTGTAGCCCTAAGTCACCTTACAAGCTCTGTGGTCCTGTAGCAGAGCTGTATGACAGGAGAGTCCAAGGATGAGAGGGAGTCGGAAGGTGAAATGTGCAGACTCCGTGCACATTCCTTTAAAAATAAGATTATCATTTAAATGCTACAGTTCTTTGCTTGGGAGCCATAGTGAGGCAGAGATCCTCCATGGGCTGGCTCACTCCCCAGAAGCCTGCAATCACTAGAGCGAGGCCAGGATGTAGTCAAGAGAAGCCAGATGTGCAGGTGGGTCTCCTGCGTAGGAAACGGGGACCAGCCTTGGGCCATCAGCAGCTGCCTCCCAGGGTGTATGTCAGCATGGAGCTGGACCAGAAGCAGAGCTGGGACTAGAACCCAGGAACTCCAAATGCCTGCCCTGCCAGTGCTGCTTTCAGTTCAACGCCCAGTCTCCTCTTGGGTGCCCTGGGCCTGCCATCCTACAGAGTAATCTTGGGCCTCTGTCTCCTGAGCACTCCCTCCCCTGATGGAATCCCGGGGTTAGGAGGCACAGCACAGGTCACCCAGACTCATAGAGTTCTTAAAGGGGCTGGAGGGCCACACCTGATTTCCACTCAGAAGCACCCAGCCTCAAGACACTCTTCTCCCTTCCTGCCAGAGTGGCCCCTCCACCATCAGACAACGCTGGCCACGGGGGTGCCCACAGTCCTTTTTCTCCTGGATGCCCTGTGATCCAGCATGATGCCCCCTAACACCTGTTACATCCACATTTCCACTAACTCTTTTCTGTAGTGGACCTCACTCCTGGATACACAGAAGCTGTTCTTAGAGGGCCACGTTGCTTAGTGCTGACTAGTTAAGAAGTGATTTGCTGGGCCCGGCGCAGTAGCCTAGTGGCTAAAGTCCTCGCCTTACATCCACCAGGATCCCATATGGATGCTGGTTCGAGTCCCAGATGCTCCACTTCCCATCCAAGCTCCCTGCTTGTAGCCTAGGAAAGCAGTCAAGGACGGCCCAAAGCCTTGGCACCCTGCACCCACATGGGAGAACTGGAAGGGGCTCCAGGCTCCTGTCTTTGGATCAGCTCAGCCCCAGCTGTTGTGGCTACTTGGGGAGTGAACCAGTAGACAGAAGATCTTTCTGTCTTTCCTTCTCTCTGTAAATTTGCCTTTCCAAAATAAATACATAAACCTTAAAAAAAAAAAAAAAGATCCAGCAGCCTTCAGCCTAGCACTGGCTCAACCACTCCAGATATGTGCTCCTGACAACACCCCTCTCTTGGGTTTAATCCACGTGCTGTGAAAATCTGACTACATGGGGGTTGTCAGGTGAAGCCACTGCCTGCAACGCTGACACTCTGAGTCCCAGTTGGGCTGCTCTGCTTCCAAGCCAGCTCCCTACCTGGGAAAGCTGTGGAAGACAGCCCGAATGCTTGGGCCCTGCCACTCATGTGGGAGTCCTCAGGCTGCCACCCTGGCTCACCCACTCAGCCATCTGAGGAGTGGACAAGCAGATAGATCTCTGTCTCTCTGTCTTTCCCCATCTCTCCTGTCACCCTACTTTTTGAACTAAACTGATACATTTTAAAAGAAGAATGACTGTATTCCTCCACCTAAAAGAGAAGGCGATGGCCCAGGCCTGGTCCACCAGAGCACCCCAGGCTTTGGCCATGGTGTTTTGGGTATGACTCACAATAGGCTAATGCACTCACTTCCTGAAACTACAGAGACTTTCTTCCTGCCGGAGGGGCTAAGAGTGAGGCTGCAGCAAGAGAAAAAGCAAGGTTCTGATGACATCCTCTGAACGTCTGGGCCCACCTTTGCCTGAAGCCAGGACTGACCCCGGGACCTCACAGGAGCCAGCCCGAGTTTCACTTTTGTCACTGTAGCTTTAAAAGCCTCAGCCATTCTGCAGACCCTGGTGGGAATATGGGCCCTAACAGGCAGCCACCCTTTCCTGCCATTGTCCTGGAGAAGCAGGTCCCGTGGCCAGGACCCACTCTGCAAGGACCTTACCTTCGCCAGGAGGTTCTGCAGCCCAATGAGCAAGGACAGCACTTGGGACGTTCCCAGAGGAGCCAGGACGGTGTCCCCAGGGGTGGGTGGTGGCCGGGTCTCTGAGGGCACCAGGGCCACCAGGCGGGAGGAGAAGCTTTGCTGCAAGGCCGTGCGCAGGAAGCATAAGATGGCGGCTGAGGGGAGGAGACTCCTTACACCTCGTTCCTGGTCCCCTGCCCACCTCCCACCCCGCCGTGTCACAGGAGGGGGAGACCATGCTGATGAGATCGTTATAGGACAGCCTTGAGCTGGCCTGGCTCACCCTATCTCAGAATTTAGAGGTGTGGGCCATACCTGAGAGCAGTGCACCTGTTTTCTTTGGAAAGCTGAGGGCCTTCAGGACTTGGTCCAGTTCCACAGATAACGTCTGGTGAACCTGCCAAGGAGTAAAGGGCTGATCATCCATTTCTTGGAGCTTGGGTAAAAAATGGCTGGCCCTAGCAATCTTTTCTAGTTTCCCACCACATACCTGCTGGTCCCAGGGTGCCAAAGAGGCCCGCAGAGTCCCCAAGCCTGGGCAGTCCTGGCTTCAGATTGTGGGGAGGAGAACCAAGCGCATTCCTAGAGAGTTCTTTTCCTGATCTCACAGCCTCAGTGGCCTCCCTCTGGGAGCCTTCGGCAGGCTCCTCTGTGGTTCAGACTCTGGGCGTAGCGTGTCAGCTAGAGGACACTGCACCTGCCTAGGCTTCCTTCACTGGTGATCACACCACCTGCCTTCACTCCCGCCAGAACTCAGCAGAGAACAGTGGGCAGAAAATGTGCCTTCACGTTGTGTCCAGCCTCGTCCGGATGGCGTGCTAACTGAGGTGGCAGGCTCACGGCTGCAGGTCTGCTCTGCTTGTCCAGAGATATGCCCAAGGCAGGAACCCGTCCACTCCACCTGGCTCTAGCAAGGGCCCTCAAGGCCAACGCTGGCTGATGAGGGCAAGGCATTCAAACAGAACTAACATGTAGAAGACATCTGAATCTGAGTGCAGCATGATATGTGAACTGTACTCCTGTTTGGCTTTTTCTAGAAAGCTGGAACTGTCCCCAAAATAAAGTCTGCTCGTAATAAAACAAGCAAGCAAACAAAGGTATGGGGATGGGAAGGGACACAGTTAAAAGAGAGGACAGGGAAGGGTGGAGGAAATGGCAGGCAGGAAGGCCACAGAGGGCTGGGCTAAGAGGAAGACAAAAAGGCCATGGCAGGAATCTGGGGAGACTGTGGCTGCAGCAATGGAACATGCAAGCAGGGAGGAGTCTGGAGGCTGGGAGAGCTTCCAGAGACTCTGTGGTAAGGCCAACCAGCAGGCCTGAATTAGGGAGTGGGTGTCAGGAAGTTAACTGAGCACGTATGGGCTAAGGGGCCAGGGCAGAGTCCTGAGGTGTAAGTGTGGACCCCACCTCTGGGAGAGGCGTGGGCAGACTTCATAGAAAAGCAGGGAAAGCAACCCACCTCAGCTTGCTGCCACCCTGGGCAGACACCTGGCTGGGCAACAGTCCCCAGACTTGTCACACAGGGTACTATGATGGTGCCAGGAAGGGCCTGTAGTGAGGCTGAGGGCATGGGGACTGATCTGGGAATGTGGCCTGGTTCCTCCAAACAGCAATGACAGCAGCACACCACGTATGGCACGTCAGGGTCCCAGGCTGGCTCCTGGCTCCTGGCTCCCTGACCAGTCTGACCTATTCTAGACTCACTGAGCCTCTGCCCACTCCAGATGGGTATACCACATCCTACACTCACGCGAGCCTTTGCTTGTGTTGTTCTCCCAGTCTGAATGCCTTCGGTCTTTGCCGAGTACAACTGCACTTAGCTTTCAAGGCACTGCTTAAAGGCTGCAAGCTCCTAAAGGGTAGGGTACTCACAGTGTCCTTTTTGTATTCCTCTCTGCCAAGAATCCAGCCTCCCATATAGGGGATCCCTGGGCATTAAATAGGCCATTTTGAATTAACCTCACAATGACCCTGGATTTTTTTCTCGCTTCGTCATAGGTAAGAAAGGTGAAGCTCAGAGAGGGTTAAACAGTTTATCGAGGTCTCACAAAGCCAATAAGCCACAGAACTGGGACCACACATCAGGGACCTTCATTATGCCTTTGAGTGCCACCTCATGCCACGAAGCCACAGGAGTCACCCACTAACCTGCAAACTGCCCTCGTGCTGCTGGGCAGAGAAGGAGGCGGTGAGCAGCCAGGCAGAGCAGAGCAGCGTGGTCATGGGCCTGTCCGTCTCCTCCCAGGTGAGGGCCAGCATCTTCTCCAGAAGCTCCATGAGGGCTGTACTGCTCAGGAACACGGCAGCCGCTGCAGGGGGCGGGCAGAGCAGAGGCCGCGTGAGTGACACAGGAGTCCTAGCTGAGTGCTCCACTCGTACAACACAAAAGCAAAGGATCGGCTTGTGGCTCTGAGGGTCCCAGCTGCATTCCAGAACCAGAGGTTATTAGAAGCAGAAAGGACCTTAGGGCCACCAGTAACACACACACACACATACACACACCCCCCTCTAGTTATTATTTTTTTTAAGATAGAAAAATTGGGGCACAGCAGATTAAGATACCAGCCAGGAATGCCAGCATTCCATACAAGCATCAGTTTGAGTCTGGGCTGCCCCACTTCCAATCCAGCTTCCAACTAATCAGCCTGGGCAGTGGAAGATGTGCCAAGGACTGGGACTGCTGCTACCCATGCAGGAGACCCACATGGAGTTCTAGGCTCCTTGCTTCAGCCTGGTCCGTTCCCAGAAATTGTGGCCACTTGGGTAACGAATCAGTAAGTGGAGGCTCTTTCTCTACCTTTCAAACACATAAATACATCTTTAAACATATTTTTTTAAAGACGGAAAGATTGAGGGCAGCAAGGACCACAGACACTGGCCAGCATTCTTCTCCTCATCCCAGCGAGTCCCACACCTCTTTTCTGACTGCTGGGCGTAGTCTGCTGAAGGCTCCAATACAGGAAGTTGAAGGAGGGCTGGAGGATGTCCACGTCTGTGGGGCTGCACTTCCCACACAGCTTGCTCACTGTAAGAGATGAGAATGTCCAGGTAGCTAGGCGCCACATCCCATGGCTTTCAGCACACACCAGCATTCTTCTCACAGGTGATGGCCTGAGACTGGCTCACTTCAGATGTACAAACTCGGTGTCCCTGACATTTCAGCCAACGGGACGTAGCTGAGGGCATGCTCACACGTCTTCCCTCTGGGTAAAGGCCAGGTAAGCAGCCATGGCCACAGGTCAGCAGCTGCAGGCCAACCACAATGGACTGTGTGCACTGAGGAGGTTAAGGATGTTAGCACAGACCATTCAGGTCAACAAGCCCCTTTAACAGGTCCTTGCTCTTGGACACCATCCAGCCCTCACTCGCTCCGGCAATGTGGTATTCCATCCCAGGAACACTCTCACAGTGGATGTATGGTTCCTTGTGCTTGCCATGAGCTTTCCCACATCACCTCCATCTGTTCACTTCATGTCAGCAATCAGGATTTCGCTTTCAAGTTCACCTTCCTGTGCGGCCTTCCTAGACTCTCAAGGCAAGACTGGATGCCTCGTCTGCATCTCCCCAGCCCTCGTCCTCCGAGCAGTTACTACCACGAAGGGCAGCCAGAGAACGCTTCCCTCTCCTGGAAACTGCCACTCCCACCCCATCTCCCCACACCTAAAACCTAAATCTCCATCCATGTTTTGTATGCCACATCACACCCTGACTTCTCATCAGGCTAGTGTCAGCCTGGTGAGCAGCCCCACTCACTGCCTAGGTTAGCACCCCGTGCTGCTCTGACGGAATCACTCAAAGATGGCTTATCTGTGTCACACGGAGACTGAGGTCTGCTATGCGTCCCTGTCATCTCCCTCCCAGCTTGACCTGACGAGCACCACGCTGAGGCTGGGCCTGCGCACCACGAGGACTGGCCTCCACATTGTGAACACCTGCAGACCCTGAGATGAATCCTTTCCTATTTTTCAACCTTCCCTCAGCACAGCTTTCTTTGATAATTGCCCAAAAGTAGACACTGTAGCCATGCAGTCTCAGGGAGGCTTGGGATGGGGAGGTAGGCGAGCCTAAAGATCTGAAGGTAGATCAACAGGCTTGATCAACTGTGGGGTGAGGCCGGGCTGCGTCTGCCAAAGCTCTGCTGTGCGGAGAGGACGTCATGTGTCTCTCTGTGTGAACCAGGCTGGGTGCTCCCAGCTCAACGTGTCTCTCTCTGTGAACCAGGCTGGGTGCTCCCAGCTCAACGTGTCTCTCTGTGTGAACCAGGCTGGGTGCTCCCAGCTCAACGTGTTTCTCTCTGTGTGAACCAGGCTGGGTGCTCCCAGCTCAACGTGTTTCTCTCTGTGTGAACCAGGCTGGGTGCTCCCAGCTCAATGTGGCTCTCTGTGTGAACCAGGCTGGGTGCTCCCAGCTCAACGTGTCTCTCTCTGTGTGAACCAGGCTGGGTGCTCCCAGCTCAACGTCTCTCTCTGTGTGAACCAGGCTGGGTGCTCCCAGCTCAACGTCTCTCTCTGTGTGAACCAGGCTGGGTGCTCCCAGCTCAACGTCTCTCTCTGTGTGAACCAGGCTGGGTGCTCCCAGCTCAATGAGGGAAGTACTTTGGTTTCACTCAGGAAGAATCTAATGTCCACGAGGTGAGGTGAAGTGAGGTGACCACCCGATGTCATACAGCAAGTGACTGAGCTGAGATCCAACCCCAACCTCCCAAATATGACCATAAAACACTCTAAGAATGTTCCAACATGCTCCTTAGCAAGGAGCCCCCAGGACCAGACAAGCCTACTAGCTTCCTACAAAGGGATGCAAAGCACACTGGCACCGAGGCACCCCCATTGCATGCCTACCCTGGGCCCTCGGGCACTGTCCCGAGCAGCCAACGCACCTTGGTGAAGTAGCTTCATGGCCATGCTGTCCAGCTCTTGCTCGGCCTTGCTCCTCAGCTGCACCAAGGAGAGGAGGCTCAGCAGCAACGGCAGGTTCCCTGAGGCTGTGAAGAACAGGGGGTACTGGGCAAGGAGCCGGAATGAGAAACAGCTGGCTCCCTGTGGCATCCACCCCTATTCCTCCCTATTCCTGAATTCTCCCTTCCCCACTGGGGACTGAGGTAACTGGGCCTCTGGATGCCAATGCTAGGAAGACACTAAGAATTCATTCTTTCACTTGATCCCATCAAAAACATTGTGAATCAGGGGATTTAGTTAAGCAGCTGAGGCTTAGAGAAGCTGAGTGGTATCTCCAGGGTCTTGCAGGCAGTAGGTAAATGTTTATGTCCCCTCAGAACTCATGTGTTGAAATCCTAACCCTCAGTGTGCTAGGATTGGGATGTGGCTGACTGGGTCATGAGGGTGATACCTTTGTGAATGTTGTTGGTGCCCTTTTGCAAGAGACCCTGGGAAGCTGCCTCCTCACCCTTCTGCCACGAGGACACAGCCAGGTGGCCATCTATAAGCTGGGAGGCAGGTTCTCATGAGACACCACGTTGGCTGGTACCGTGATGTAGGGTTTTCTCAGCCCCAGATCTTTGCTGCTTATCAGACAATCTATGATACTCCATTCTAACATCCTGAAGAGTCCAAGAGACAGTCAAGAGACTTGGGCCTAGATCTGAATCCAATGCCCACAGCCTTTCCACTGTGTTTCCATGCGCCTTATGGGTTTCCAAAAATCTTTTGCAAAGGAAGAACTCCACTCCTTCAGACACCCTTGAATCCACCTCCAGGGGTCAGTCAGGACTGGAACCAAGGGATCCACGGATCTCTTACCACTCTCTCCTAGACATTTAACTCGTTCAGATAAAGTCACACCAATCCTAACTCTTACTCTCTCCCTACCAGACCAAACCTCAGCTTCCTTGACCCCAGGGAATCCCATCACAGATTTGGAAGCCACCATCCCAGCTTTCCCTAGGAGCTTCCAACACAACACAGGTCCACCCCCTCCATGGGCCCTGCTGGCTGTTGCTGCCCACCCAAAGCTCTCCCAGAGTTCCCACTTTCTTCTTCCCACTGGGGGCTCCATTCCAGTGACAAACAGCTCTGGGCACATGCCGTGCAGGGTGAGGATACACATGCACATCCTAAGCACACCCACGCATGTGGGATGAAACACACAGCAAAATAAGTATTTTGTGTGCCCACTCTCCAGAGAGAGCAAGGAGGGGACGATTGTGTAGCCTGATGCCACAGGCATCTGCCTTTCCTTCTGCAGAGAATCCCTGATGCTCTGCTAGAGCAGGTCTGAGCAGGGCAGAGGTCAGCTCACTCTCGGCTGACAACGTCCTCCCGGCCCCTACGTACTGACCTCCTGAGGGGGAGGCCCCGTGCTCCACCAGCAGGTGCTGCAGGATGAGCAGAAAGTGGCCTCGGATGAGACCCCCCACTTGGACATCCTCGTTCCTCCGCAGGAAGGTCCTCAGGACAACCAGCACCTTGCGAGCTGTGTCCACTGGGCTGGAATAGATGAGGTCCTGAGCAGGAGACAAGGAGAGCCAGAGCTCACCTTTGGGGACAGGTGTGCCAAAGGTTCTGCTGGAGGCACTGGCCCCTCACAATCAGCCTGCACAATAGTCCATCCCAGATGGGAACCATATACGCAGGGAAACTGCACATCTTGCCAGAGGTCAGTCACAGAGGTCAGTAAGTGGCACAGACAGGACTGGAGCGCAGGTCTCCTCACGCCAAACCCTGAGCTCCTTCCACATCCCAGGAGGCCTCCCTCTTCCAGATCCAAGTATTAGGGTCAAACAATGTGCTTTTCAGTGCGCTCTCTTCTTAAAGAAGAGAGAGGAAATGAGATGACATTGGGTAGAGAGAGGACACACTAGGGCAGATTCAGAAGGAAGTGAGGACCAGGTCAGGCCCCTTCCCCGCTTGTTATTTCTTCAGTAGCTGCCTCCTTCTGCCACAAGCTGTAAAGGCTTAGGGTTCAGAAAACGGGAAAGGACATGGTTTTTAATTTTTTTTTTGAGCATATGTCAAAGGCAAAATTAGTCCAAAGCTTCACCAGCTGCTACCCCACTGATCACTCTTGGCACCTACCAGCTCAAACTAGCCAATTCCTTTGGACAGGCTAACACGGCCAGCCAGTTAGAACTGGTGCAGTGAACTCAAGGTCATGCTGATTCCCTCGCTCTCACAGGGCATGTGGCCAGAGAGGCCCTGATATGCTGACCACAGGGCAGGCAGGGGAGGATGAAGACAGGGAGTATCTGTACAAGTTCCCCTGGCTATGGGAAAACCACCACAGCAACAACTGCCACCGCTCAGCGAGGGCCTGGTAATGTCAGGGGATCCACAGTTCTCACATGGCAGCTGCACATGTGAGTGTGTGTGTGTGTGCGCTATGCCTATCTGGTAATGTCAGGGGATCCACAGTTCTCACATGGCAGCTGCACATGTGAGTGTGTGCGTGTGTGCGCTATGCCTATCTGGTAATGTCAGGGGATCCACGGTGCTCACATGGCAGCTGCATGTGTGAGTGTGTGTGTGTGTGCGCTATGCCTATCTGGTAATGTCAGGATCACACTGTAGCTGCATGTCTGTGTGTATACCATGTCTATCTTCACAATAACTTTGAGTTAGGTGCCATCCCAGTTTTTCAAATGAAGAAACGGGTGCTGATTCATCAAGAAAAGAATAGAGATTCGAATGTGAGTTAATGAAAGTCAGGGATTAAGCCTGTTCTACCTTTGTTCCCTTGTATGGGCTTATAAAACACCTCTGGAAGGGTAGGATCACAGAAGAGGAGGCTCGAGAGTCTAGATCAGTGCATCCCACCCACGTCCTTCACAGAGCAGGAGGCCTGAGCCAGAGGAGGAAGTGAGCTAGCCAAGTCCTGAGGCCGCAGCCCTGACCCCTTTCCTGGTCTCCTTCCTCCACTAGTACATCCCTGGCCTTCTGCCACAGACCTAGTTCTTCAGAAAAGGGAGTTGGTGGAATTTTGTAAAAATCATAAAAGCAGGAAGGGGGATGGGAAGAGAAGCACACTCCCGTCTGTCTGCAACAGCCAGCGGGCTGGACTGGGCCAGGAGGCAGCAGCGTCACCCAGGTCTCCCACATAGGGGACAGGAATCTAACCATGTGACCTACCAGGGCTCTTCAGGGTCTGCATTTCCAGGAAGGTAGAGTCAGGAGCCAGAGCTCAAGCAACGCACCTGTCCAACACCCATCCCTAAGCTCATTAACTTTTTTTTTTTTTTTTTTTTTTCTAAAGATTGGTAAACCCATATCTTTTTTTTTTTAAAGATTTATTTTTATTATTTTTTCATTGGAAAGGCGGATATACAGAGAGGAGAGACAGAGAGGAAGATCTTCCGTCCGATGATTCACTCCCCAAGTGAGCGCAACGGGCCGATACTATGCCGATCCGAAGCCAGGAGCCTCTTCTGGGTCTCCCACGCGGGTGCAGGGTCCCAAAGCTTTGGGCCGTCCTCGACTGCTTTCCCAGGCCACAGGCAGGGAGCTGGAAGGGAAGCGGGGCTGCCGGGATTAGAACCGGCGCCCATATGGGATCCCGGGCGTGCAAGGCGAGGACCTTTAACCACTTGCGCCACCGCGCCGGGCCCAGCTCATTAACTTTTAAAAAATGCTTTTGTTGTTGTTTATTTGAATTACAGAGAGAAGAGAGAATCTCCCATCCATTGGTTCACTGCTTAAATTGCCACAATGGCTAGGACTGGGCCAGACCAAAGCCAGGAGCTTCCTCTGGGTCTCCCATGTGGGTACAGGGGTTCAAGGCCTTGGGTCTTCCCTACCGCTTTCCCAGGCTGTGCGCAGGGAGCTAGATTTGAAGTGGAACAACTAGGACTCAAACTGGCAACCATACCCGATGCTGATACTGCAGGCTGATATTTAGCCTAATGAGCCATTGTGTCAGGCACCAACAAAGTCATGACTTTTAAAGGTCCAAAAGGGGGCCTGGTATGGTAGCCTAGTGGCTAAAAAGTCCTTGCTTTCTACATGCCAGGATCCCATATGGGCACCAGTTCTAATCCTGGCGGTCCTGCTTCCCACCCAGTTCCCTGTTTGTGGCCTGGGAAAGCAGTCGAGGACAACCCAAAGCCTTCGGACCCTGCATCCATGTGGGAGACCTGGAAGAGGCTCCTGGCTTCAGACAGGCTCCATTCTGGCTGTTGCAGTCCCTTGGGAAGTAATCAGCAGACAGAAGATCTTCCTCTCTGTATCTCCTCCTCTCTGTAATCTTCCTTTCCAATAAAAATAAATAAATCTTAAAAAAAAAAAGTCCAAAAGGAAAGGAAGGGGCTACTCAGCTTCTGGCGGCCTGGGGAAGTGTGCACTCCACCACGCAGAATAGCGTGAAGGCTCTGCAGTCTGCCGCCCAGAGCAACCTCGAATTCTCAGGGACTGGACCACACAGGGAATCAACAGAGCCCGTGGAACATCACTGCTTTTCACATCTGCACAGCCTACCAGACCGCCCGTGGACAGGAGCGACAATAAGCTGCTTTGTTTTCTGCTGTTAATTACCCACATCAAAACCAAAAATTGGTGCCACCACATATTTTTAGACTCCTCTGTCCTCCTGGGGCTGGAAGCTGATAAGAAAATGGCAGGAATTATATATTCGAACAGACAACAAACATGTTCCTTGTTTTTTTGTTTTTCTTTCTTTTTTTAACTACTGGTGTTTCTAGGATCCCACTGAGTGAAAAACTCATCAACTTGGAACTCCAGTCACGGCCATGACTCTTACTGGCTGTATGACCTTGAGGAATTCAATTAGCCAGGATAAAGGACGTGGCACCAACCCTAGAACCCAATGTCAATAAAACTATTTCAAAGTAACTACTATGTGTGGGGAACTGGCCCTGAATCCTTCAACTGTAGAAAGAAGCCCGATTCGCCGGTTCTAATCCCGGCAGCCCCGCTTCCCTTCCAGCTCCCTGCCTGTGGCCTGGGAAAGCAGTCGAGGACAGCCCAAGGCTTTGGGAACCTGCACCCGCGTGGGAGACCCGGAAGAGGCTCCTGGCTTCGGATCGGCATGGTATCGGCCCGTTGCGCTCACTTGGGGAGTGAATCATCGGATGGAAGATCTTCCTCTCTGTCTCTCCTCTCTGTATATCCGCCTTTCCAATGAAAAAATAATAAAAATAAATCTTAAAAAAAAAGAAAGAAGCCCGATTATCTTAATTCTTGACCCCTGCCACCCTTGCCTTCCTCCCCTCCTCCCAACCCATTCCTTTCGCTTTATTCCTCCTCCAAGAAAGAATCTGAGCTGAAACAGACATGGTCCATCTCAAACCAGCATATGTGACTTCACAGGACACCAGAAGCCAGGGGAAAAAGAAGATTCAAGTCTGAGTGGGTGGTGTGTGTGTGTGTGTGTGTGTGGGTGTGTGTGTGTGTGTGAATGTGGCTAGATATAGATATCTAAAACATGGAACAATAACATGCAGGTGTTACAGCCACCACAGTCATCCAATAAAGCCAGTGTTTGTTGATATTAAGGGCATCAAAGGATCTGGACTCTCCTTGAATGGCCATTCTCCCTGCCCTGGGGGTGCTCAGGAGGTAACCGGCTCTGATCTAAAGCAAGGATCTCCTCACTGAGGTGTGTTAATAAGTTTGGGAAGTGTAGCCAGTGATCTCCCACTAAATATAAAATGTCAAATGTGCACATATTTTCCTTCTGAAAATACGTATGAGTTACAGCAGTTACCTCTATAAAAAACGTCACTCTCACTAATCCGTTTTTTAACGTGCTTTTCTGAGTGGAAGGGGAAAGAACAGTGGCATGAAACTCAACATGTTGGAAACTGCAGACAACAAGCAGTCTACTTTATCTAACAGACGCACCTTATCGGAATTACAGCAATGCTTACTTAGTAAAAGGGAAAAAAAGTCCTGGGGTTCCTGGCAGTTCCAGGTGCGCCACAGGGAGTATGCTGCATGTGTTATTCATGGAAGAAAGACCTAGTCCCTCCAAAGTCAGATCTCCACCTGCACCCCAGGGGTATCCTTGAACATTCCAACCTTATTAGCAGAATCCACGTGAAGAGGACAAGGAGGTGAGCAGGAATGCTACGATTTGAGTTCCACACATTATAGTTACGTGCCCTGGAGAGTGAGAGGTGCCAGCCTCTCAGTGAGTGGGAAGACATCCATCGACTTAGGAAAGGCAAGGGATTGTAGCAACTGAGACACCTATAAGCAGGAAGGACCTCTCAGTCACACGGAGACAGGGATAGGTCCAGGGCAGAAGCAGCTGGCTACCGGGGGAGAGGTGGAGGACAAGGAAGGGGAAAGACAAAGGGACTGGCAGAGAGAGGCTCACTGCCTCTGCGTGTGAAAATGAACAGGTGGATCCCACCTACAAGCAGAATGAGCAGGATGCTGGGGCTACTTCGGAGTATCTGGAACAGAGCGACTAAGCTGGCAGGCAGGGTGGGCTCTGGCCCCGTTGGGAGTTCATCCAGTTCCTCACAGCAGCTCTCCTCCCAGGAGAACCAAAGTTCCAGGACACGCTGCCCAAACCTGCTCATCAGCTCCGGATAGGACAGGAAGAAGCTGAGCGAGAGCAGGTGGTGGGTGTATACTAGGCGCAGGTCTGAAAGGCCTTCCAGGAACTTCCGGATTGCGCTGACCACCACCTGGAAGCACAAGAGAGGAGAGAGGGCTCAAGAGACCCTGACGCAGCTGAGGTGTGAGTGGGGGGGATGTGCTTTCATGCCAGGTGCCCCAGGACATCCTCACAGGCTCCTTGTGTGGCACACTGATGAGATAAGCCTCAGCTGGGGGGTAGTTTCCAAAGAACAGAGACATATGTGATCTTCTTGCAGGAATGCTGCTGGCATCGGACGGCAGTCAGCAGGGACCACTGCTAACTATCTCACAATGCACAAGGTGTTTGTTTTTTTCCTCAGGAAAGAAAATGTCGATGGTGCCAGAGTCGAGAAACCCAGCTCTGCCAGGATACTTAACCGTGTGGTGGTGGAGGTGGATATGATGGTAGTGGAGGTGGAGGTGGTAGTAGTGGAGGTGGTAGAGGTGGTGGTGGTGGTGGTGGTGGTGGTAGAAGTCGTGGAGGTGGTGGTGGTGGTGGTAGTAGTGTGTCCACCTATGCATGAGACTGAAAGCCACCCGATTTTTCTGTGTGTCTGACATTGGGCCTGACACAGAAGGGTGTGAAGTGGAAATGTGCTGAATCATGTATTAACTCAGAAAAACGTACCTTTTCCATTGCACATAGATAGAGCAATGTTCAAATTCCTTAGTATGCTCTTCCAAGAAGTTTCACAGACTTTACAGCTTCGGTTAGACTTTTTATCTAATTTAAATTACTATGTAAGGGCCCGGCGTGGTGGCGCAAGTGGTTAAAGGTCCTCGCCTTGTACACCCGGGATCCCATATGGGCGCCGGTTCTAATCCCGGCAGCCCCGCTTCCCTTCCAGCTCCCTGCTTGTGGCCCGGGAAGGCAGTCGAGGATGGCCCCAAGCTTTGGGACCCTGCACCCGCGTGGGAGACCTGGAAGAGGCTCCTGGCTTCGGATCGGCATAGTATCGGGCCGTTGCGCTCACTTGGGGAGTGAATCATCAGACGGAAGATCTTCCTCTCTGTCTCTCCTCTCTGTATTTCCGCCTTTCCAATGAAAAAAGTAATAAAAAAAAAAATCTTTAAAAAAATAAATAAATAAATAAATAAATAAATTACTATGTAAGAGCCCAACTCAGAGGCCAGAGCTGTGACACAGCAAGCGAGCCACATACTGTGACTCACATCATATACAGGGGTGCTGGGTTGAGTCCCAGCTATACCACTTTAGATCCATCTCTCTCTTTTTTTAAAGATTTATTTCATTAAAGATTTATTGTAAAGTCAGATATATAGGGAGAGGAGAGATAGAGAGGAAGATCTTCCATCTGCTGATTCACTCCCCAAGTGGCTGCAATGGCTGGAGCTGAGCTGATCCAAAGGCAGGAGCCAGAAGCCTCTTCCAGGTCTCCCACTCGGCTGCAGGGTCCCAAGGCTTTGGGCCGTCCTCGAATGCCTTCCCAGGCCACAAGCAGGGAGCTGGACAGGAAGTAAGGCTGCTGGGATTAGAACTGGCGCCCATATGGGATCCCAGCACATGCAAGGCAAAAACATTAGCTACTAGGCTACCTTGCCAAGCCCCAGATCCAACTCCTTGCTAACATGCATGGGAAAGCAGCAGAGGACAGTCCAAGCACCTGGATGCTGGCCGTCCACGGGGAAGACGAGGATGGAGTTTCTGGCTCCTGGCGTCACTCTGCCCCTGCACTGGTTGTTGTGGCCATTTGGAAAGTGAAGCACTGGATGGAAATTCTTTCCATCTCTCCCTCTGTATTTCTCTTCCTTTCAAACAAAGAATATTTTTAGGAGACCAACTTTATTTTTTTCATCTGGATATCTAGTTGTCCTTACAAAATTACCCAAAAGATTATTCTTCTCTGTTGCTTTGTCTTGGCATTGTCTTGGCACATCGGACTGCCTGGGTTTGAGTTTTGGCTGTGCTCTGATTCCAGTTTCCTGTTTACGCATACCCTGGGAGGCAGCAGGTAGTGACTCAAGCACCCGGGCTCCCGGCTGTCGCAGGCACTTGGGGGGTGAAATATTGGATAAAATATATTCTCTCTCTCTCTCTCTGATGTTAAAGAAATACACACAGAAAAGGTAAAATCCAACTGACCAAGCTCCCCTTTATAAAGATTTGTTTTTATTTATTTGAAAAGTAGAATTATAGAGAGGAGGAAGGGGAAGACAAAAAGAGGGTGGGAGGGAGGAGAGACGGAGACTGCTCTATCTGCTGATCTGCTCCCCTAATGGCTGTAATGGTTGGTGCTGGCTAGAACTAAGAGCCTGGAGCTTCCTCCAAGTCTCCCATGTGGGTGCAAGTGTCTGAGCTCTTAGGCCATCTTCTGCTGACTTCCCAGATGCATTCCAGTGAGCTGGATCAGAGGCAGAGACAGCTGGGATTTGTTTTTTTTTTTAAAGATTTATTTTTATTATTTTTTATTGGAAAGGCGGATATACAGAGAGGAGAGACAGAGAGGAAGATCTTCCGTCCGATGATTCACTCCCCAAGTGAGCGCAACGGGCCGATACTATGCCGATCCGAAGCCAGGAGCCTCTTCCGGGTCTCCCACGCGGGTGCAGGGTCCCAAAGCCTTGGGCTGTCCTCGACTGCTTTCCCGGGCCACAGGCAGGGAGCTGGAAGGGAAGAGGGGCTGCCGGGATTAGAACCGGCGCCCATATGGGATCCCGGGCGTGCAAGGCGAGGACTTAACCACTTGCGCCACCGCGCCGGGCCCGACAGCTGGGATTTGAATCAGCACCCTTATGGGATGGATGCCAGCTTTGCAGGCAGAGGCTTAATGTGCTATGCCACTATGCTGGCTCCGACCAAACTATCTTGTGTGTTGTAGCTTTCTGACAAGCTTTGAAATAAAACAGAGTGGGTTATCCAACTCTGTTCTTTTCACGGTTATTCTGGATACTTAGGTCACCTTCATTGCGATATGAATTTTAGGACCAGTTTATCCATTTCTATCAAAAGGTGACAGCCTGCATTCAGACAGGGACGGCAGTGGATGTATAAAACAATTTGGAAATTACTGTCATCTCAAACACCATTATCTTATAATTCATGAACATAAAGGTGTATCTAGGTCTTCTTTAATTTTTTTTTAAGAACTAAGGAAAGTAAGAGTTGTTTTTGAGATTTACTTTCTAAAACACTATCCTTTTTTTTGTTGTTAAATTCATTCCAACTATTTTCTTGATGCCACTGCAAATGGATGGCTTTCTTGATTTCATTTCCTAAAGACTTATTTTTTTTTTGAACGCGTTACAGAGAGAGGTAGAGACAGAGAGAAACAGAGAGAGAGAGAGAGAGAGAGAGAGAGATATCTTCCATTTGCTGGTTCACTTCACAAATGGCCACAGTGGCCACAACTGTTCCAGTCAAAAACTGGGAGCCAGGGGCTTCCTCCAGGTCTCCCACATGAAAGCAGAAGCCCAAAGATTTGAGCCATCTTCTACTACTTTCCCAGATACACAGAAGGGAGCTGGATCAGAAGCAGAGCAGCCAGGACTCGAACCTTGGATTCTGGATTGAATTCTGGGTCCCTGGCTTCAGTGTGGGAGTGAACCAGAGGATAGCAGATCTTTCTCTCCATTTCCAACTAAATGAAAATAAATCTACTAAAACATTTTCTTTAAATAGCCAAAAACAACCTAATTAATAATGATCTGGGCCCCAGAAATCCACTTTTGCTAAACCGCTACCAGAAGGAGATGGTCATGACTCTCCCGCTGAACAGATCACAGGAGGTGCCAAGGAAAGGACCCCAGGCATCAGTCAAGCCTGAGCTGGAATCCTGACCCCCCACTAATGCACTGTGTGACCTACAAAAAAGTTACTTCAACTTCAGGTTCCACTTGCTTATCTAGAACACTGAAATAATCTCTGCCTCCCAGAACTGCTGATTGCACAGGCTCCGTACGCCCCCATCCAACTCCTCTCTGCTGTTCTGACACCTCCTCCTGTCTTTCACCTTCCCCTGTCTTGTCCATTACATTATCACATATATCATCACGGACTCCCAGGGAGCATTCACAGAGTCACAGGAGTTCAGGAGCCCCGGTCACTGCCGTCCATACCTCATCCAGCATGCTGTCCTGGACCTGGCAGACCGCAAGCAGGTAGATGGAGGCTTTGAGGACAGTCAGCGGAGGGCACTCCCCCTGGTCCTGCAGGGACAGGAGGAAGCTCTGCACGGCCGCAGACAGCTCCGCCTCTGAGACAAACCTGTGGACCAAGGAGGGCCAGAGTGAGCATGAGGGACTGGTAGGCCAGTGGCCTCTGCAGTCCAGCCTAGCCACACCCTCCCTCAGCCTGCTGTCCTGCCTTGGCATGCCCTCAGCCTAACAGGACCAGGTACAGTGTGCTGTATATACTCTCAAAGAACCGTAACACATCCACATCACATGCTGTTACGTCCTGTGCTGTTACAGCACTCTCCATGCACCTAGGACACGGGGCACCGGCCAGCTGCCCAGCACCACACAGAAGAGAGCTGCTCTGGGGGCTCTGAGGCCCTGCTCTGGCTCCCAGTCCGCCACCCGCGGTCTGTTACCTAACAGTGACCGTTCAACTGGCTGTTTTCTGTGGTGGTGACAGTGTGTAGTCTGTGCTTGTAAACCCAAGGGAAATGGGGGCAGGATTGTTTCTCACTGTATGCACTTCCATACCTTTGAATTTTTTTGGTCATGGATGTGTCTGACCAATACAGATCAGAATAGGAAAAAAAATGAAATGTGCATTTCAATATGGATAATATTAAATGCAGTGTGATATCCTGGACTGTGACTCGGAACAGAAAAGGGACAGGAGAGGAAAATGGCAAAATCTAAATAAAGTTTGTTTAACAATAACTTAACAATGTTGATTTAAAAAAATTATTTTGGGCCTGTGTTGTGGCATATCAAATTAAGTAAGTCTCTGCCTATGAAACCAGTATCCCACATGGTCTGTATCTGCTTATCTGGGGAGCAAAGGGGGACGGCCCAGAGCCATGATCCCTGCAGGCTACTCACGGGTACACATGAGAAACAAATAGAAAACAATAAACAAACATATACACACACGTTCACAGCAATCCTATTCACAAAAGGACCAATGTCCAAAGATGTCCGGCAATGGATCGCCTGTGGTATACACGTGCAATGATTTATCACTTAGCCAGAAAAAGCAATGAAACACTAACATATCTTGTAAACATGAAGCTAACCAGAAGAATCTTGAAAGCAGGCTAAGCAGAAGAAAGCAAGCATAAAAGTCGTGATGCCATCTACATGGGACATTCAGAAGAGACTAATCTCAGAAACAGAGCAGACACGGTGGCCAGGAACTGGAAGGGCAAGGGAGGGATAACGGGATGACTCTTTAATGAGGAAGGGGTTTTATTTTGGTGTAAAGAAAATTTAGATGGAGGTGGGGGTTGCTGAACACTGCAAATGTACTAAATGCTATTAAATAATTCACTTTGAAATACTTAACTCTCTGTGGCGTGAATCTTACTGCAGTAAGTTATTTTTAAGCTTAAGTAAACAAAGTTGATTTTTAAAAATTAATAATTTATGCTGTTAATTCTTAAAACTAAAGCAAAACACAGAATTAAAATGTTTTATTGGAGCCAGCATGGTGATATAACTGGCTAATCCTCTGCCTGTGGTGCTGGCAGCTCACATGGGCACCAGTTCAAGTCCCGGCTGCTCCACTTCCAATCCAGCTCCTTAAAAATGAGTCAGGGAAGGAAGCAGTGCAGGATGGTCCAAGTCCTTGGGCCCCTGCATGTACATGGGAGACCCAGAAGAAGTTTCTGGCAACCATATGGGATCCCGGTGCACAGACGCCAGGCCACCGAGCCGGGCCCTCTCTCTTGACTTTCAAGCAAAACACATAAATCTTTAAAAAAAAAAAAAAAGATGCTTTTATTTGATAGACTAAACGACGGTGACAAACGCAAAGAGAGATCTTCTATCTGCTGGTCTGCTTCCCTAATGCCCTTAACAGCCAGGGCTGGGCCAGGTCAAAGTCTGGAGCCAGCAGCTCCACTGGGGCCTTCACGGTGGGTAACAGGGATCCAAGTGCCTAAGCCTTCACCTGCTATCTCTCAGGGTGCACATGAGCAGGGAGCTGGATCAGAACTTGGGGAAACCAGGACTCAAATGAAGGCACTCCAACATGGCATGTGGAAGTCCCAAGTGGCACATCTAATGCTCGTTCCCTGAAGCTTTTTTTTCTGTATACAAATAACACCGTCCAGCATATCAAACACTGACCACTACTCCAGGCCTCTGTATCTCAGCACTGTGCTTACCAATCATCTGAACTCCCTGGGAGATACAGCTAGGCCTCCAGAATGCAACCCATTTCTCACTGAGCTCCGGTCCCCAGTGTCCACACACCAGCTTGGACGATGCCTCAGTGTGCATTGTAACTGAACCACCCAGGCTACAGGTGAGAACTGCAGGCCCCACCCGCAGCCGCTGGCTCCGAGCACTGACCTGTCCTCATGGACATGGGCCAGGTAGAAGAGGAGCAGGATGCAGTACTGTTTCTGGCGAGCAGCTCCCTCCACGTACTGGCGCTCGGACAGGAAGGCCAGGCTCTCCAGGCTCCTGCTGCTTATCTGGGGCAGCCTGTGCTGCAGGAGCTCAGATACCGCAGAGAGTTCTGGAAAGGAGCAGGCAGGGGAGAAGTCACACACACAGCCAGCTCACCAGTACCGACGACAAGGGGACACCTGCTTGGGGCAGCCAGGCAGGGCAGCAGATGCCTTTCTTCCTTGGGGCAGCTTTCACTGTCAAGAAGGACGGGGACATGTCTCAAAAAACACTTCCAGGTGACCTCTGTTGATGTGTGGCTGCCCTAGGCCAGGCTGTACGATGCCCAGATTCTGCCTCCTGGTGCTGGTGGACAGACAGGCAATCTGCAGGACATGCAGCCAGTGCCGGAGGGTGTGGAGGGAGCGTCTGAGGCGGGGAAGAGGAGGGGACTCTCACTGAGGGACAGGTAATCAGAGCGTTCCAGGCGCAGAGTCATGAGAGGACACGCCATCATGTTTCAGTTCAGCATGAGCAGTCAGTGAAGAGATGTGGGTGTCAGGAGCCGCAGAACCGTAGGATATAATTCGTAGGTTGCTACAGACCTTGAATGTGGCTTAGGAAATGTGGTTTTTATCCTGAGGGCAGAGATTCCTAGGTTTCTTATGAAACCTCTACTCCATAAAAGGGGTGCTTTCATACCAAAATAGGGAGAAAAAAGACCCTCAGAGCTCAACACTTGAATCAAGCCAACTCACCCGGTTTGCCACATCTCCCCACTGTCTGACTCTGCTTAACGGCCTGGTGTTGAAGGTTGGAGGGCATGGCATGTGAAGATTCGTTTTCAGACAGACCCTTCTAGCAGGGGGTGAGACTTGCTGCAGGATGAGAGACTGAAAGTAGGGACCCAGGAGGGAGGTTAACTGGAAAAGTCTGCCCTGCAAAGGCAGTAGACCAGCAAGGCCTGAGGGTGCGAGACATCCCAGAGCAATTGCTATCAGAGCCAGAGCAAGTCTCCGGATTGCAATTCCACTGAAGACACACTTGGTTCAATACAATAATAACAAAAAGAAAAAGGAAGAAAGGAAGAAAGGTACCCTTAGTCCTAAGACCTTCATGTGCCCTTTGTTCTGATGTATAAAAGAGGGTCGTGCACATGTGAACGAAGTGTAGCTTTTCCTGAGCAGCAGGTCCCAGCACCTTCACAGAGGCAGCTGTGTGAAATCCTGCCTATTCTGACGGGCACAGGAGCTGCTGGCAGCACTCACGCTGGCATCTGTGATCCCAAGAGGCCTCCACGCTGAGGCTGCCAACTGTCTCGGGCTCTTTTCTCTGCAGGAGAGACCACGCCTCAACAGGCAGATTACAGACCGCATGTGGAGGAGTGCCTGCCACACCGAGCAGCAGTCGAGCTGAGTCCTGATTACGGAAATGCTCGCCTGGGCTTCTGCTTTTCAGCAGTGTCTGAGACCAGCCAATGAGAAACGGGGAGGTAGGGGAGCCAGGGGAAGACAACAGTGTGCTTACAAATGTGAGAAGAGGAATTACAGCTAGCACTAGGTCTTACCATAAAGAAGGTGTAATATTTATTGAATGAATAAGACAATGATTATGTCAGTTTATACCAGACATGGATTCTCCAACAGAGGAACTCCCCGGGGCAGAGAACATAACTGCACTCATCCCTGTGTCCACGGCAGTTCCCAGGCCTCCGCTGGCATATGGCAGAGGATCCATGGACATCTCATGAAGGGGAAATTGGGCAGCCCTCAGCCCTGCTGGTCCTCCTGCCTGTGTTCTGTCCAACTCTGCCGTACTTGGTTCACACACCTGCTCAGATACCACGTCCTCAGGGAGGCACCTGCTTCCTCCATCATCCTTCCTTCATGCCACCTGGCCATCCCTGATATTCTATTTCTGTTCTGCCTGCCTCTCTCTTACTCCAGGAGAGCAAGACTTGTCTCCACAGGCTTTTCACAGTGCCTGGAATTACATCTGGTATTCAAAGAATAAACGTCTGAATGAAGAAACAGAACAGGCTATTCAGGCTATGGTGAGCACTGGATTTTCCAGGGAACGTCAAACAGCGAGGTTCCTGCGATGGGAGTATTGCCGAGGAAATGCCTGGAGGAAAGAATGAGACTGGGTAGGCCTCTAGGTCCTTCCCAGCTCTTGGAGTCTTAAATTCCAGTACTTTCTGATTATATTTCATGTCCCTAAAAATAAACCAGCAGTTCCACCAACCTACACCTTTTTAAGTGCTCCGAGCAGCAGAGCCAGTAGCGTGGACAGAGGGAGGGTCTGGGGATGAAGCACCGACAGGAGACCAGCGATGGTGGAAGTCTCTGGAAGTCTCCCTTTATTGCTCCTTCACCTCTCCTTATATACTCTTCCCTCTAAATCCTAATTTAGCCAGGATATTGGGTACAGATGAGTCCAATTAGTCTAGGTGTTTTTAGCCACAAGCCCGGTTCCTGTTCCTGCCCAGCCCAATGAGCACTAATCAACTCCTTAGCCCACAACATTTTAAGCAAAGAGAGTCCTGTACCAACCCCACTCTCCATCAAATCCATTAGACATGCAGGCTCCGAAGACCACGGCAGACCTCATTAGTGGTCCAGCCACAGTGTCTTACCTTCCCGGGAAGGCGGTTCTGTCTTCTTTGGAGCCGACAGAAGGTTGAGGCACATGTAGTAGAGGAAGCTGGAACACACCTGGTTCAGGGCTGAGTAGCTTAGAGGGAGAAGACAAAGAGAATAAAAGAGATGATATCCCCACTCAGGGGGTGTGACCCTGGTCATGGTCTGGACACAAGTGCTTTGTCAGGGCCTGGTAAACTCTCACCCATGGCCATGGTAGAGAGGCCCCAGGCTGGGGATGACAAGTGCCCACAGACACTTGGGCTGTGTAGAGAACTACTGAAAATGTATTAAAAATAAGTCAAAGAGGGCTAATGAGCTGCAATTAAAGAAAACGTACGAACCAAAAATGCCCCTGACCATTCTAGAAATTCAGACACAAGAGGATGCTGTGGAACCCATGATGTGGACACTAACAGGGCGCCACAAATCCCCAGCTTCCCAAATTTGGACTTTGAGTCCAGAGATTCCCTGTTATGTCCTGAATGCTGAGTTTTCTACTGAGAGACATGCAAAAGAGCTGGAGCCCACCTCATAGCCACCTTGTAGGCTCAGAGACTGTAACTAATGAGCTACCTAGTAAACATGAGACAGCTGGTGCAGGATCCGCACAGCAGCCCCACGTGCTAGGGATCTGGTCCCTGAAGTCTTCTACAGTGGTCCAGGGGTTAACAATGGAGACAGCATCCAGTTGTGGTGTTGTGGTGTGTGAAGGTGATTATACTGAATTAAAGTGGCAGGATTCAATCGCGGTGGCCTTACAAGAGATGCATGGCCATACAATGGGAGCGTGTGTCCTGTCTCACTGCCTCCTGGCACGCCGTGTGTCTTCCTCTGGATGCTACTCACCCTTCTACTGCCCTGATCAGACCACCTGAGCTCAGAGGAGCCCTCTTCCTCCCTAAGCAGCTTCTCTCAGGTATTGGAACAGGGATGAAAAGCCAACCCAAATCATGAGTGAGGAGGTAGAGAAGGCCACTGTGGAGACCTCTGGAACTGCTAAACTTCACCAACTAAAACCTCACGGACACTGTCCTCCAGGCACTCCCTTGCCCTCTGAGGGCCTCGTTTCCTCATGTTAATGAGAGGTTAGACAGATGATTTCTGAGAGCCCTGCTAATCTTCATGTGTAGGTACCCACCCCTTACCTGGAATGAGAAAAATCTATCAGAACAGATTAATTATCATCTGGAAGTCTGGTTCATACCACTGTCTGTGAATAATGCTGACATTATGTCAGCCCCACCATGGTCCCATACCCAAAACACACCCAGCCAGAAATTTCTGTTTGTCCAGTCAACAAAGATGCTAGCCAGCCCTCTGGCCACTCAGTTCTGCACGGGCCATACATACCTCGGGCCGCTGCAGAACATGGCTTTCAGCTCCAGGGTCAGTTGTATGAAAGAGGAGGCGGCTTCAGAGAAGTGGGAGGAAAGCACAGAGCAGTTTAAACCAGTAATGTCACAGAGATTCCCAAGCCTGAGTGGTATCAAAGAGCTTAGCCTCATAATCCTGGCTCGGGGTATGCTGTGTCACCATCAAGTAACACGACAGGGGAAAACGCCTTACACTCCTGAGACTCGGTTTTGACATCTGCACCTCACGGGCTTTTGTCAAAGTATCAGGTCAGATTAATAAATGTAAGTGAATCATCTAACGGGTCCTCGGGTCAGATAAGTGTGGGATGAGTATTCGTCTTCCGAATGTGCAATGTCTACTAAGGCCCTGGGAAGGACAGAAGGACACACACATTGCTTCGATTCCTTCTCCCGTTTTGGACAAGAGAATCCAGTTCCAGGTCCAGCACAGGTCGTCTGCTCCTCCTTGTCTCTGCACTGCTCCAGGAGTGACTGGTTTTTCTCAGGGGTAGGGCATCAGTTTCTGCATTAGCTAGCGACACTGGCCAGCCCCAACACTGCTCCAGGGAAGCTAACGGACCCCTCAGGATTTCACAGCACCCCCCTGGGGCCACATTTAACCCACAACCCTCCTCCCTGACTTCTGGAAAGGGTTCTTCCTGGCTGATAGCTCAGGGATGCAGAGTTCCTACTCTGGTCTCTGTGCCCCTCCCAGGGGTGCCTGCTGCCCTCCCGCGCCTTGCAGGTTGGGCCTCTGATCTTGTTTTTCCTGGCTCCACACTGCACAAGTCTCTCTGCGGAGCTCACAGCCTTTTTCTACTTTCCAGCTCCCCAGAGATCCACACTTCTACATTCTATCCAGCACCCCAAATCTGAGCCATCTTCAGGACCCCGGGTGTTGCCTGAAATATGAAGGCAGGAAGAAGGATAGGAGTAGGGAAGATATGTCAGCCAACTGTCACAACAGCTTGGAAGTGCAGTCATCGGGAAAATCCACATACATAATCTCATTTAAAACTGAAGCTGTCAGAACACCTGGGAGAAACAAATTTTAAAATTTTAAAATAAACAAAAAAAACCCCAAAACAATAAAATAAATAAAACTCAAGGAATAAGGCAAGAATCCAACTCATATGGGCAAACAACAACAACAAACAAGCAAAAAATCCCTACTGTTGTTGCTGCTCTAGAGCATCAGGGTTTTCCAGCCTGAGGGTTAGAAACATTCCTTCTGGCTCCTTGCTGACTTCCAATCCTCCCCTCTTCCCCCCACACAGAATCACCAGAGCTTTCTAACCTGTCTCAGTACCTCACCTCAACTGCAGTCTGCCTCCCTCCCAAGCACCTGACAGAAACAGTTCAGGCCAAGGGAGCCAGCAGCTCCTGGAAGGCCAACGGTCATCTGTAACCTCAGGACTTCTGGGAAGCACTGGACACCACTGGCCGGTCCAGAATCCACAAGCCTCCACACTTCACTTGCTATACTTTTCTGGGTTTCTTTCTTCTTCCCAAGCTGCTCCTCCTGACATTGGATGTTGCCCATGGTTTTATCTGGCCCCTTTCATCATCTCATTGTACACACCTCACCCTTGAAGGGGGTCTAACCCTCCCCCCATAGTGGCTAAAGTCCTCGCCTTGCACGCACCGGAATCCCGTATGGTCACAGGTTCTAATTCCAGCAGCCCTGCTTCCCATCCAGCTCCCTGCCTGTGACCTGGGAAAGCAGGTGAGGACAGCCCAAAGCCTTGGGACCCTGCACCCGCGTGGGAGACCAGGAGGAGGCTCCTGATTCCTGGAAACGAACTGTCTCAGCTCCTGCTGTTGCTGCCACTTGGGGAGTGAATCAGCAGATGGAAGATCTTTCTGTCTCTCCTTCTCTGTAAATCTGCCTTTCTGATAAAATAAATCTTTTTTTAAAAGAAAGTGACTCCTAGGGGCTGCACAGTAACATAGAGGGTAAGGCTACCACTTGTGATTTCAGGAAGATTGCTCCCTGTTGATGACCCGGGAAAGTAGTGGAGGATGGCCCAGCTCCTTGGGTCCTTGCACCCATGTGGGCAATCTGGAAGAAACTCCAGACTGCTAGCTTTAGTATGGGTCAGCCCTTGGCCACCATGGCTACCTGGAAGTGAAAGAGTGGGTGGAAGACCTGTCTCTGTGGGAGAGACAGAGACAGATCTCCCATCCACTGGTTCATTCTCCAAATGGCTGCAATGCCTGAGCTGGCAGATCAGCAGACAGCAGCCAGGAGCTTCTTCCAGGTCTCCATGATGGTATGAAATCCCAAGCTTGGGTCATCCTTGGCTGCTTCGCCAGGCGCATTAGCAAGTTGCCGAACTGGAAATGGAGCAGTTGGAGCTCAACCCAGTGCTCATAGGAGACGCCAACATTATAGGCAGTGGCTTAACACGCTACGTCACAGCACTGGCCCCAGTAAACAAATCTTTTAAAAAGAAGAAGAAGCAGCAAAGAAAGATTTTAAAAGATTTTAAACCAGATCTCTAGGTTTGAATCCTGGGTGACTCTGATATTCAGTTTGCTCATCAGGAAAATGAGGACAATCATAACACAAAAATCGGAGGTTGGGGGCCAGTGTAGCAGCCTAGTGGGTAAAGTCCTGGCCTTGCATGGATCCCACGCGGGCACCTCTTTGTATCCTGGCTGCTGTGCTTCCCATCCAGCTCCCTGCTTGTGACCTGGGAAAGGAGTCGAGGACGGACCAAAGCCTTGGGACCCTGCACCCATGTGGGAGAACTGGGAGAGGTTCCTGGCTCCTGGCTTCAGATCGGCTCAGCTCTAGCCACTGCGGTCACTTGGGCAGTGAATCATCAGATGGAAGATCTTTCTCTCTGTCTCTCCTTCTCTCTGTATATCTGACTTTCCAATAAATAACCCTTTAAAGAATGTAGAGATTTCTTTGAAGAATACTGCAACCAGTGCATGTAAACACCTGCTTGCACACAAGGACGTGACGCTATCTGCTGTCACTAACCAGGTAGTGCTTACTGCCAGCATTGTCCCCCTTCCCGTCTCTCCACTGCTGCTCCTGTCTTAGGAAGACAAAGGAGGCTGATTCTGCTGCTGGAATTATTCTGCTGACTGAGAAAGGAAAGTTTACACTGAAGAGAGAACAGATGGCAAGGGAAGAGCGAGATCCCAGAGGCACTGGAGAAGGACCCGGAAGCCATGTGGGCCTGGCTTTAGAAACGGCCCTCAGAGTACAGTGGGACACTTCTACTGGAAGGGACTGGGAGGTACATGGGGACATTGTTCAGTTGTCACAGCAGCATTTCGTGCTCAGCAGCCGGAGAAGCTTCCCGTCCTGTGAAGCCCGGGGGCCGTGGAGCATGGAAGGAACGGGGAAGGGAGTGTGTTTCAGCTTCTTCCACCCAACACTGGACACAGAGAGGATACAGACTCACGAGGACACAAAGGTCCACCCTACCGCGACGCTCTCTTTGAGTCCTCCAAGCAGCCGCGTGATGCCTGCCCTCCTTCCCCACTCCCACGTGCCTGCTGCTTACCGAGTTTCTCAGAAAACTTCTCCTTCATGTGGGGAACGATGACAAACAGGCTGTGCAGAATGGAGAAGAAGACTTCCACCAGGGCCGGCTGAGCGGCCTGCTCCAGGTGTCTCTATAAAAACAGGAGGAAACACGGCCAGTAGGCCTGAGCCTCAGAAGCACGACGAGCATCAGTAAAGGCCAGCGTCAAGCCGGCCACGGTGAGCTAGTCTCTCCCCCTGGAAGAGGAGCCAAATGCCACAAGGCTACATCTGAGCCTTAGGTCTGCCACTTCAGAGTGTGCAAATCTCTCACCTCCCTGAGAACAACACCAAAAAACCCATGAGGTCACGTACGCGCCACAGCAGTAGCAGCAAAAACAATACAGTTTACAAGGTGAGTTCACGGATATTGGTGATCCTACAGCCCAATGTAGGATAGCACAGCTCCTGGTTATGGGGAAGAAAATGTGGGTTCCGGTTCCAGGTCTACACCCAGCCACCACCGCAGACCCCGGGGTCAGTCACCTCTCAACAGCTGGGGCCTCAGAGGCAGTGTGCTTGTAAGATACCACCCCTTTGGCTTATAAATCAAGGTTGTTGTTTTTAACTATAAATTAAGATAGGTTCACTAAAGAAAATGTATAAAATACAGAAAAGTGGAAAGCAGGAATAACACACTGATGCTATTATTTACTTCTAGACTGAGCTCTAAGGAAGGCAGAGCAGATGAGGAAACCAATGTGAGATGCCTGAGCCTCAGTCAGGGGAGCCTGTGCTGAGCTCCTGTCCACAACCAGCTGGTGCAAGGCTGACTCACCAACTTCTTGGAGGGAAAGAGGCCATCTCTCACAGAGCAGGGGACCCTCCCCGTACCCTTCCCTGACCCTCAGGACTCGCAGGAGAGGACTCACCCACGGTTACCCGGATGGTCAACAGCTCTGCACCCCACTCTTCCTCCCATCTCACCCTCAGCTTGAAACAGCTCTGCAGGGCGAGGTCTTTATTCAGAGCTGCCTACTCATTTGAGGGAACGCACATATGTGTTCCTTATTGTAGTTTAAGTCACAGAGATATCCACCACTGCTCATTGACCTCCTTGTTTCAGAACCACTGCACTATGACAAGCTCATCCATAAATCAGGGAAACTCACAGCACCCATCTCCCAGGGTCGCTGGCAGGATTTCACAAAGCAACAAAGATAAGGTGCTTGCACTCCACAAACATCACCCACATATTCTTTTATTATTCCTGCTTTCTACTTTTTCTTCAGAAGCATATATACGTATATGCTTAGTATAGTGAAACTATATACTTTAGTGAAACTTTATACTTTAGTTTCAAAACCAAAGAAGTCGCTGCAAGAATGACATCGGGAAGGCTTCAGCCAGGCCAGCTGAGCAGTCAGTCACTGCCTATGCCTCTGAGCCCAGATCACCCTCGCATTCTTCTCTCCCCAAAGCTGCAGCTGACCACGACTCAGGGGGACCCACCAGCACCATGGGGATACAGAGAGAGTCACAGGAGCTGAGAAGAAATTCTGAGAAGGCCGCCAGGGTGTCTTCTTTCTCGGCGCTTGGGGCTGTGAATGGATTCTCCTGGGCCAAAGGCTCACTCTGAAATTCCACAGCCAACCTAGAAGACCAACACATGAGCATGTCCACTACCAGCCAGACAACACAGGCTAGAAGCAACCTTCTAGGCACAGTGTCTGGCCTCACAATTAAGATGCCAGTTAGGGTGCCTGCATCCCACGCTGGAAGACCTCAGAGCCTGGGCCCGGCGCGGTGGCGCAAGTGGCTAAGTCCTCGCCTAGCACGCTCGGGATCCCATATGGGCGCCGGTTCTAATCCCGGCAGCCCCGCTTCCCTTCCAGCTCCCTGCCTGTGGCCTGGGAAAGCAGTCGAGGACGGCCCAAAGCTTTGGGACCCTGCACCCGCGTGGGAGACCCGGAAGAGGCTCCTGGCTTCGGATCGGCATAGTATCGGCCCGTTGCGCTCACTTGGGGAGTGAATCATCGGACGGAAGATCTTCCTCTCTGTCTCTCCTCTCTGTATATCCGCCTTTCCAATGAAAAAATAATAAAAATAAATCTTTAAAAAAAAAAAAAAAAAAAAGACCTCAGAGCCACGTCCACCTGGGCTCCTGACTCCAGCTTGCTGCCAACACAGACCTTGGGAGGCAGACGTGATGGCTCCACCGACCGGGCTCCTATCACCCACAGGGAGACTCGGTTGAGTTCTCGATTCTCAGCTTTATCCTGGCTCAGTCTCAGCCACTGCAGGCATCTGGAGAGTGGCCAGCAGATGCGAGCATTCACTCTCTGCCTTTCAAACAAAAACTTTAACAAAGAGAGGGTGGGGAAGAGAGTAGAGAAAGAGAAGAAAAGAGGGAGACAGAAGGATGACTCAACCTCTTAGTGAGATCCCTGAGTTGAAGATCCAGGGGGAATCATCTTCGCTGTCAGATCCACAGAGAATTCAAGGGCCTCCCTGAGGAGCAGAGTGGTCTCTGGCTACCTTCTCTCCTGCAAGCCCTCCCCATGCCCATGGGCCTGCCTGAGGAGCACAGAGGTCCCTGGCTACCTCTCCAGTCTCCTGCAAGCCCTCCCCTTGCCCATGGGCCTCCCTGAGCACTCCATGCTAGCTGCTGTTTCACATCCCCTTCCACATGCTGCTCTTCACCTGGAGCTCCTTCCCCAGAATGCAAACTCCACACACATGCACAGCTGCCTCTTCCATGAGGCTATGAGGAGAGGCTCCCTCTTCATCTCCTACTGCTTCTGTCGAGCACAGAAGACACGATAACAAAGCTGTAATGCTGCCCAGTGAATAGCTACAGTGCTAGGTTTTGGGGTGACTTCCACACAGTGGCAGACCCCACCAGGAGGAATCTGTAGACAGCCTGGCTGGAGGTGGGGGTTGCGTTCCTGTGGCACAGCAAGTGAGGCATGGACGCCTGTGATGCCGGCATCCCATATGAGTGCTGGCTCATGTTCTGCTCTTCCACTTTTGACTTAGCACCCTGCTAAGGGCCTGGGAAAACCAGAAGTGGGTCCAAATGTTGGCTCTCCTGCATACAAATAGGAGATCTAGAAGAAGCTCCTGGCTCCTGATCCAATACTGGCCACTCTGGCCATTGGATGAGCGAACCAGCAGATGGAAGAGCTCTCTCTGTCTCTCCTTTTCCCTCTGTAACTCTTTCAAATCAAACAAAAATTCTCTTACAAAACAACAACAAAAAAATATCCTACCCCAGTGGCCTGTCCTTAAGCTTCCTTCACACACTCAGTCCCCACCCAGCCGCAAGCCTCTATGGAGCAGAGCATCAGAAATGAAGCAGTGCTTCCCGAAGGCCGTCCTCACTATGAATCTCCCGCAGCAGCCCCGCCCTGTGCAGTGACTGAGCACAGGGAGGGCCCTTACCTGCAGGCACTTCTAAAGCCCTCCAGAGTGCTCAGGATGAATGTCCCCCTTCGGAAAATGGCCTTCTCAGAATCGCGACTGTAAGCGTGGCCCTGAGGCAGGAAGAAGAGTGAAGAACCCATTAGCCTGCTCTGTGCTCAAAGTGCAGGCCTCCTCCACTTACACTGCTCCTGATGTGCCCAGATACCCAACTTTCCACGAGCTCTTGCGTCCACACTTGCAAATGTAGTAACACCTTCTAAGCTCAGTGTTGGCACAGCATTGAGGTGGCACAGCATGTTAAGTTGCCATCTATAACACTGGCATCCTATATGAGCAACAGTGTGAAAACTGGCTGCTCCACTTCTGCTCCAGCTCTTTGCTATTGTGCCTGGAAAAGCAGTGGAAGATGGCAGAAGTACCTGGACTCCTGCCACTCAGTGGGAGGCCCTGATGTAGTGACTGCTTCATTACCCTGGCCCAGCCCTGGGTGGGTGAACCAGCAGATGGAAGATCTTTCTGTCTTGCCTTCTTTCTCTGTAACTCTTTCAAATAAATGAACAAATCCTTTAAGAATGAAATATAAAGGGCCTGGCACAATAGCCTCTTGTACACACCAGGATCCCATATGGGCAGCCCCGTTTTCCATCCCAGCTCCCTGCTTGTGGCCTGGGAGGGCAGTCAAGGACAGCCCAAAGCCTTGGGATCTTGCACCCGCATGGGAGACACAGAAGAAGCTGCTGGCTTGTGGCTTTGGATCAGCTCAGCTCCAGCCGTTGTGTCTACTTGGGGAGTGGATCAGCAGATACAAAACCTTGCTCTCTGTCTCTCCTCCATTCTGTAAACTTGAATTTCCAATAAAAATAAATAAATGTTTTTGAAAAAAAAAATATAAAATGGTAAAGGGGGGAAGCTTGACTACCTGTGTCCTTATGAACCACAGAACTGGCTCATGGGCTAGCACGCAGGAAGTTGTCACAGCAGCTGGCAGGTTGTAATGTCTGTATTAGACACTGTGCCACATGAGGAAATCCCCCACTTCCTCAGGCGTGTGGAGCCCTGAAGACACAGTGTTCCCACTGACAGCATCTTTCCTGGTATCCTAAACCCAAGAACACTCCAAGCCAACCACAGCACACCATGGCACACTGGTTACATTGAATCAGCCTCATTAAGTGTGTGAGCACATTGATCATGCCTGCTTGAATGACATAAACAGACAAAATAAGTAACAAACACCTTGGAATGGACTAGCCAGGCCCAAGTACCTGCTCATTTTGGATCTTGGGGATAAACTACTTAACCTCTGTGGTTTCCGTTTTCTCATCTATAAAATCAGGGAAAGTAATCCTTAACCTTATGCCTAAAAAAGCCAAAATAAAACACCTCAATGTAGGCATGTACATATGAAGAAAAAGCTAAAAATGACATACAGAAGCAAAGTGATGCCCTAATTTTTCTTTCTCAAAATACATCATGGCAGGAACTGCACAAGAAGCAGACAGCAGTGCACTGACCAGGGGCTTTCTGTTGAGTGAGACCTGGGAGAATTCCACACACCGGCTCAGCATGGCTTGCAGCAGGGCCTGCAGCTCCCTATACTGCACGGGTGGAGCGCTTTGGTGATCCTTCCTGTATTCAGAGACAAGAGCAGGTTCAGAGCTAGGTGAGGGGACTCTGAGGACCACTGCCTCTCCCCCGCATGCACACAGCAGGCTCTGAGGGCCTGCATGTACCAGAACACAGGGTCTGGTCTCACAGTTCACCAGAGCACAAGCCCCCTATGAAAACAGATTTGTGAAAACAGAGTCATAAGCCAACAATGAAGGGACCTCATTTGCTCCAGGAATTCCCCTCCAGAATGGCAGAGAAATTAGGGGTTAGGGGCACAAAATACATTTGGGAATCAGAGCACAGTCTAGACTAGAGCAGCAAAAAACATTCACAACTTTGTTTTAAAAGAGGAGCTGGCTTTGTGGTGTAACAGGTCAGGCCTCCACCTGCAGTACCAGCATCCAGGATAGGCACTGATTCCAGTCCTGGCTGTGCCACTTCCAATCCAGCTCCCTGTTTATGTGCCTAGGAGAGCAACACAGGATGACCCAAGTGCTTCTATGTATATGCATATATAAATCTTATTAAAATATGTAAAAGTAAAAACAGAGTAGTCATTAAAAGAGTTGAAAAACAGGTAGTGAGTGCTGACGAAGTCTGCCTTCAGCAGACCCGGCCATGGCTCCTGATTCCTGCTCCCCAGGAGGCAGTGGTGACGACTCAGCTAACCAGATCCTGCCAACTACACGTGACCTAGACTGAGTTCCTGCTCCCAGCTTCAGCCCCGCCCAGCCTCCGCAAACAACTAGACACTGAGCTACTGGATGAGAGCTCAGCCTGCCTCTCCGCACACCCTGTGTCTCTCTACTTCTCAAACTAATACATTTTTAAAATATTGAGAAATAAAATCGGGCCAGGACAAAAAAAAAGTCAACAATTTTCCCTTAAGTTAGTACACAAAGACAAACAGATGAAAAAGAGTCAGGAAACAAAATAAATTCAAAGACTATTCTAGGGTGTTGCACATGTAAATGATAGTTCCAGGCAGAACAGGTCACACGGAATGGCAGAATAACTCAAGAAAACGGCTCCAATCTAAGGAACAAATGTCGCTTGGAAGTTGTCTTGGCCTGGACAGGCCTCTTGGCACATGGAAGGGTGGACAGTCCAGCTTGCCTGGGCCCCTCACCTCAGAAAAGCACAAGTGGCCCTCACCGCCTCGGCGGCCACCTCCAGCACAGGGCTGCTCACGGCCTCGCGGAGGACACGGCCAGCGTCTCTGCAGAGGGCTGAGCTTGTGAACAACTTGATCTCCTCCGGCTGCCTGGAAAGCGGTGGATGAGAAGTGAGTGAGTGAACTCCTCCAGCTCCCTGTCCTCCTGCCAGGCCCCCGGAGGCTCACCGAGTCAGGATCTCGGCGAAGAGCAGCAGGCTTTGCTTGTGCAACTCTGTGTTGTTCATCTTCAGGCTTTCCTGCAGGCTTCTCACCACTGCCTCAATCCCTACCTCACGCGGAAGGATGTAGGCCAGGGATCAGGGCTCTGTGGTTCCTCTACTGCCCCACAGAAGAGGTGGTCATGGGGCTGGCCCCTCCTTCCTCCGTTGAGAAGCCAGCGACGGCCACGCAGCTTACCAAGCAGGGAAGCAGAGTCTGGTTTGGTTTCTACCTGCCCCCAACCCCCAAAAATACAGGACCCACAGTACCAACCATACACCGTGTGGCATTTGGAAAAGAAGAGCGGTTCTTCAGCCAGGAGGATCAAGCAGCTGCAGCTGGACCAGACAAGTGCTTCATTGGAAGAGGAAAGATGTTCAAAGAGGAACTCTGGCCAAGGAAAGGAGAAAGAATGAAGGCCAGCCACGAGCTCTGGGCCTTTGGACTGACACCACCTCCACTTACTCAGCATCTCACTTGCCCATTCTGTCTCCAAGAGATGTGATCATCAGGTCACCAGCAATCCTGCAGCGTGTCCCTAGGGTTAGACAGTAACCTCTTCCTTCTAACAGAGAGGGAACTGAGGCCAAGAGGTAGGCACTCCCACTGGTACAGGTGGGCCTGGAACCTAGAGCTCCTGATTCTCCTGATCTGGTTCTAGCAGTGTGATGCAAAAAGGAGAAAACAAAACTGTTCACGCCAGGGAGGACTGATTTTATAGCCCACTTCGCCTTGTACGTCTCAACCAGTTATTCAACTTCTTAGAACCTCAATTTCCTCATCAATAACCAAACAAAGCTGGGCATTTCAAAGCGGTGACGTGCAGCTTGGGGCACACTGCTGGCTCCTCACAGCTCCCTGAGACACAAGGCTCCCCTTGGCCTTCCACACTAGGTCTTCATTTCGGGATGGTTACATAATAGGCAGAGATCAGCCACAAACTGCTCAGTCATAGGAGAAGTTTGTAACAACAGCTTTCACATCTTATAAGACCTACTTCTTAAGAGTCTGGTGTGAACTGTCCCCACCCCATGTCCCCAGGATGTTATCAAGGGTTCTCTTCCAGGGTTGTTGCCAGTTGCTGTGACTGCCCCCACAACCCCAGGCTCCAGCCAGAACAGAACCCTGGAGAGAAGGTGAGAAGGCATTCCTTTACCTGGGATGTCAGCGTGGATGAAGGCCAGGGCGTACTTTGCCGGGCAGTGGACCAGCACAGCGGTTATGCAGTGGGCACTGGCTATCTGCAAGGTCTCATCTCTAGACAGGAGCAGCTGGAGAAACAGACAGAACACAGTGTCCCAAGAACACCACTCACAGCACTGAGGAACTGGCCTGAGCACCCCCAGGCAGGGGCAATCCATCTCAGCTCCCTTCTGAGCTCACGACTCAGGCACAGGGACGGTGCCAAGGGAAGCTGATACGTGCTATGGGAATGGGTCTGCAAACAGCAGTGGCAAATGCACCCAAAGAACACTAAAACATTACCAAGCAGTGCTCATTCACTGACAAAACCGCTTTCAAAGCCCTCACGTGGTTCTGATGGGACACGACAAGGGAAGGTTCCACCTCACACAGGAATCGGCACTGCAAGAATCAGCCGGGTTTGGGAACTTGGATCAGCGTTGTGGGGTACTCGGGTTAAGTCACCCCCTGTAATGCCAGCATCCCATAAGGGTGTCTGCTCCATTTTCGATTCAGCTCCCTACTAATGCACATGAAAATGAAGCAGCGTGTTACCCAAGTGCCTGGGAGACTTCTATTCATGGGAGACCTAGAATAAGTATCTGGCTCCTGGCTTCTGTTTGGCCTAGTCCTGGCCATCACAGCCATCAGTGAAACAGAGGACAGAAGAAGGCCTTTGCTTTTCACCCACCCCGACCTGCCAGCTCCTTCCTTAGGCTATCACTCCTCTTTGCAGCAACCCCTGCTAGCACACAGGGCTGTAGAGATCTGCCAAGCCCTGTGCTGAACACAGAGGGGGAGGAGGAGATGCTTAACTCAGGTCTTTCCCTAACGAGGCTTCCAGTGGGTCAAACACAACAGAGGGAGGCAAGCACTAGGACAGAGGGCATAGTGTGCCTGAAGGAGGGGACAGGGCAGCCCTACAGACCTGAAACCTGAATCAGACAGGAAAAAGAGGTTCCATGGGCAGAGAGTACCTGCTCAGGCAGAGGCAGGATGACCCAGCACAACTGGGACCCTGGAGAAGCTGTGGCTGAAAGGCAAGTGAGGCTGAAGGCATGAGCAGGCCAGGTAAAGGCAGCGTTTTATATCAAGTTGAGAGGCTCACCCCAAAGCAAACTCTCCCTATGTAACATTGCCTTCAAATAAATAAAATAAATCTTAAACACACACACACAGCATTGATAGGCTCACCCCAAAGCAGCAGAGGTGGTTTTGTTTCTCTTAGTGTATGTATTTTCCTATTCAGGTAGCCCAGATATGAAGGGGGACAAACAGGGACAAGAATTTATGACATGGTGTTTAAGCCAGTAGGCGAACACTTCTGGAAACCCTAGCTAGGAAAGTAGTGGATGATGACCTGGCTCGAGAAGCACCTCATCCCGTCTTTGAACCTAGCGGCCAAGATCACACAGCATGTACCTTCTTGAGCACCAAGGGCAGTGAGGTCTCTCCAGGTGGTCCTCCCTCATTTCCAGCACTTTCGGCCAATGCAGACTTGTTCATGATAATTGAGACAAAAAGATCATACTTCAGCAGCTGTCTCAGCAAACCTAGGACACCAAAGGTCGGGAAGAGAGGTAAGCAGGGCACAGACTCCAGAGCACACCCATGACAGCCCCTCAGACATCTCGAGGGAGACTTCCTCACGTCTCCTTCAGCACCAGTTCACAATCTGCAACCCGGCTCCCTTCCAGCAGGGTCCCTAAATGAGGGTCAGAAAAATGTCAGCTTCATCTCAACATCACCTACTCCCCCACATACTTCCTGATATGCGACAGAAATTCAATATATATATATATATAAATTTGAAAGAGGGAGAGAAACAGAAAAGCAGGCAGAGAGAACTAGTCCTCTGGTTCACTCCGTAAGCACCCTCAACAACCAGGGCCAGGCCAGGCTGGGGCTGAGGCCCGGATGTGGAGACTCACTTCAGGTCTTCCACAGCAGAGGCAGGAACCCGCTCACCTGAGCCTTCGCCTCTGCCTTGCAGGAAGCAGGAGTCAGGAGCTAAGAAAGGAAATCCAGTACTATAACAGGGGCCTTGGACATCTTACCACCAGGCTAAATGCCCACCTCTCAATAAAGAGCCCTTGATGGGCAAATAGAACACCCACTCATTCAGGGAAAACAGACTCCTCCCAAAAAATCATGCAAAATACTTACTTATCACTGTAATAAATGTTACAAATAAGAAACATCTAGACATGAGGGAATGTATACAGAGGATCTATTCCAATGCAGGGATCAGGAAAAGCTTCCACAAGCAAGTGTCCTCTAGAAGGAAAAGTAGGAGAAATTGGAAGTAGAGGGAAGCATTGCAGATGGAGGAAGGAGCATTCCAGGAACCAAAGGAAAAGTCAGAGCTCTTAAAAAAGAAGTCCAGGGATGGGGCAGCACTGTGGTACAGCCAGGTCAAACCACCAACTGTGAGCCAGCATCCCATATGGATGCCAGTTCCAGCCTCCACTGCTCCACTCCAGTCCAGCTCCCTGTTAATACGTCTGGGAGAGCAGCAGAGAATGGCTCAGGTGTCTGGGCCCCTGCACCCACGTGGGACACCCAGACAAACCTGGCTTTGGCCTGACCCAACCCTAGCCATTGAGGCCATCTGGGGAGTGAGTCAGCAGATGAAAAAAGAACTCTCCCTATGTAACATTGCCTTCAAATAAATAAAATAAATCTTAAACACACACACACACACAGCATTTAAGATGCCACTTGGGGTGGAAATCTACATTCCACATTGAAACACCTGGACCTCTCCTTTGCAAAGCAGCATGATCCTCCACCACTGCCCTCTTGTCCCCAGCTCCACATCTTACCTAAGCAGTTGATCTGTAGCTCCTTTGTCTGGGCAACGTCCAGGGTGGAAAGGAAGAGGGGACACAGCTTCTCTCGGAAGTGGCCTGAGAGCAGCTCGGCTGCCAGCGGGGAGGAGTAGAGTTTCCCATAGAGGTAGCACACGGAAGCCTGCACTCCCTCGTTGGGGTACACCAGGCCTCTCAACAGATGCTCCATCAGTTTGCCTGTCCAGGAAAAGACCAAGGAGCCAGGGGAATCTCACAGTACCAAGGACTCTAGGAAACGCCAAACTGTCATCCCTGGTAAGGTAGTAAGAACAATTCTTAAAATTCCCTCATAGCAAATGCTTTCTGGATGCTTAGTCAAGGCAAAACAAAGGCTTAGAGGAGATGATTGGCCTTTGGGTAAATCTTCTGTGATGGGAAAAAAAGAATGGAAATAGTTCAGGGCCAAAGTAAAGAAACTGACCTTGTTTTCAGTTGAGCAACATAACAAGCTCTCATCTTTGACAAAGATGGGACGCAGAAAGCTAAAGCAGGAAGGTGGTGGCTTTACAGGGGTATGCGGTGAACGGGCCGCCCACACGCAGGATGACTCAAGCACTAAAGCAGACTGAGGGTAGAGACAGTTCTTCCTCCGGGGTCACTTACCATGCTCGGTTACCAGCTGGTCAGCCAGGGCAGGGATGGCATCCACCAACTTGCCAAGAAGGGTGAGAGTGGCCAGGCTGCCTCGCATGGAGGGCATGTTACACAGCTACAAAGAGTGAGCACATCCATCAGGAGCAGAGTTCCCATCGAAACTAACGGTGCCATACTCACCGCGATGCTGGTACCACGCGTGGCTCTCAGTCTCAATTTATTTACTTAAAAAAGCACAGAGAGAGATCCCCCACCTACTGGCCCACATCAGGGCTGAGTCAGCTTGTACTCGACAACCATGAACTCAACCCGAGCGTCCCATGTGAGAAGCAGGCACCGGGGCACTCAAGCTATCGCCTGCTTCCTCTCAGGGGCACTTTGGTAAAACACTGGATTCAAGAGCAGAGCTGGAGGCCCGGCACTTTAGCCTAGTGTCTAAAGTCCTTGCCTTGCATGTGCTGGTAATCCCATATGGGCGCCGGTTCTAAACCTGGCTGCTGACCTTCCCACTTCCCATCCAGCTCCCTGCTTTGTGGGAAAGCAGTGCAGAACAGCCCAAAGCCTTGGGACCCTGCAACCACATGGGAGACCTGGAAGAGGCTCCAGGCTCCTGGCTTTGGATCAGCTCAGTTCCAGCCATTGTACCCACTTGGGGAGTGGATCAGCAGATGGAAGATCTTCTTTGTCCCTCTTCCTCTCGGTATATCTGACTTTCCACTAAAAAATAAATAAATCTTTAAAAAGAAAGAGCAGAGCTAGGACTCAAACCCAGGCTCTGTAAAATGGGATGCGGCACCCCAAGCTGTGTCTTCACTGCAGCACCAAACGCCCACCCAGCAACCAGCTCCTTCAGCCACGTGTCCAACATCCCCACTATTGGGGATGCTTCAGCAGGGGAAAGTCAGAGCCAATAACCCACAAGTGTCAGCTAAACTGAACTGAAATCAGCAGATTTTGCCTCTCATAGAACCAAAAATCAGAAGGTAAAAGCTGGAACATCATAAAGCCAGAACACTGGCCCGGCACCAGAAACTCTGCTA